GCAGCAGCTCCTCCAGCAACAACAACAACAACAACAACAATAACAACAGTAACAACCATAACAACCACAATCTACGACCACACTCTGTCTCCAGGCCTACTCCTCCCCCCCTGATACCACCATATCTCCCTCACACTTCGCACGGCTCCGTCGACCACCCAGCCCAGTTCTACCAGGACCCCGAGGCCCGTCTCAAGCTACGAGTCTACCTCGCCTCCCCCCAGAAATTCGACGAAGCAATCGAATTCGGGTTCCCTTCTCTCGAACACAACGACAACCTAGGCACTCCCTTCTCCTTCGACCGCAAATGGAAAATGCAAGAATCCCCTACTTCTTCCTCCTTTATCGACTCAGAGTCCATCGCCCCCTTCGACAGTACCGCCAGTGCAAGTGGTCCGCCTAGTCCCCGCACCGCCGTACGACCGAAGACATCCGGAGATTTGAAACCCGACAGCAACCAGTCATCTTCCACATGGCGCAACCCATCAGTCTGCGATTCCGTCAACTCTCGGCCCTCGTGCTCGAGCAGGCGGCCTATCATCGTCGGCTCCTCGGGGCCCATGGGCAGCAGGGAGATGACGCTGAAGATGACGCTGACCCGACCCGATCTCAGATCAAGCGAGCTGACTTCCTCGCCGAAATCGAGCATGACCGCCGAGGAAGATCCGCTCAAGCTGGCGGATTTGCCCGTCGACGAGAAGGCGCCGGTCTGGGAGAAGCCGGAGAAGACCTCGATGAAGAGCGTCTGGAGGAAGATCACAGGCAAATCTACCTAAACCTTTGCTATTCATTACTCTCTATCTCTCTTTTTTTTTTTTTTTTTTCACTTGGTTTTCCTTTTCTGTTCACTCCACTTCGCTTCTTGCGTGAGCTATGCTTGCACCCCCTATTTTACATACCCATACTACCTTTTATTCATATATACATACCCTCGACTTGACGCCTGATATGACCCATCTCCTACTTTTTCTCTTCTACTCTACCAGTCCATCCATCTCTATTTTATTTCCTTGTGTCTTGAATACCCACCCCTTTTTTTCAATATCTACTTTTTTTTCCACATACCATGTCTGGGATCTCTCTACTTTTTCCTCTCTACCTTCTATCTGCCTGCACATAGCATATATACCCATCTACTGAGTTACTCAGTTAGCAAATGAAACTCCATGCAGACGAACCCTTCCGCTTCCACACACGTAACCGTCTCTCGTTCCCTTTTCCCTGCCGAATCAACTTACCTGCATACGGATACCCGCGTAGAAGCATGTACGTATGTCCACATCAAATATGACATGTTGTGCATGTACTAGCTTGTAGATTCCTCGTATAACTTCCTGGCATGCTTCATCCCTGGACAGTCGTATGTGTATGTGTGCATCCCTGATCCCAGCTGGTCTGCCCGGAAATACCTTTTTGCTCCCACGAATCATGACGGCATCTCGTCGACCTCAATTGCTCAGCAACGACTCCATAGCATGTCCTGCTGGTGCGTTGAGATAGCTCACATTGCTCCCCTCGAGAAGAAGAACTATATCAGCCGTGTTATGCTGGTGCATGGCTGGCAGATATGCGGCCACCTGGCTGCCTCGAGGGGAGGGGTAGGACGCAGACAGGCTTCTTTCTTCTTTCTTTTGCTTCAAGAGTTATTGTCTTACGGTCGTAGGACTTAGTCTAGTAGTTAGTATAGGTGGTCGGCAGCGGGTACGGAGGATGGCGTGAGGATGGGCAGGCTTAGGGCAGTTGGGAGTTAAGGACGGAGCCAGCAACAAAGAGCATCCACTTACCTCCATCCCCTGAGCCATCTAGTATCTCCATCACCGTCGCCATCATCATCATCATCATCGTCGTCGTCGTCGTCGTCGTCGTCGCCGTCTTTATGTCGTCTCCCTTTCTGCGGCCTCGCCTCAAACTTGAGTCTCATCACGTGACCCTCTCTTCCCTCCAGCCCATCATGTGCCCATCATGTAAGCTGCAGAAGCGAAAAAGCGACGACGACGAACGGCGAGACGACGATGAAGACAACAACTTCACCGCCAGCCAGCCAGCCAGCTGCTTGTTTCTTTTAATACCACTACTTCACCTGCGGACTCCAGTTAATTAGGTGCTATCTGCTGGGACGCCCTGACCTGCTGTGCTGTCCGTTTGTCGCTGGTCCAGGCAATTGTTTTGGTCTTGGTGAGTCCTCGAACTGCCAGCTATCTATCTACCTAGCTAGCTCCGCCGGCCTAGCTACAACGACCTCTACTGAACTCCCTACTGTAGCTTCATCCCACGATACCGATATCATACGAGACCGCAAATCCCTCTTCGCGGCCCCTCCACTACAGTTCCATACTTATGTCGTCCAGTCAATCCCACAGCTCATCATGATCGTCAGGAGCCTCCTGTTGGCCGGCAGCCTGCTGCTAGCCAGCGTCGTGCCGGCCTCCCTCACCCTTGCAAAGTCCGATGGGCCCCAGATCACAGTTAAGGAGTTCGACAAAGCGCCCCTAAACGTCCACTACTTCGAGGACACAGACACCATCATCCTGTCCGGCGACAAGGCAGAGCTCTACATCTCGACCGACGCCGCCGCCTCCTGGGACCTGCTCAAGGGGAAAAGCGGCCTCTTGTTCCCCAACAAATATCATACTCAGAGCGCGGTGATCTACGGGCCCAATCGCAAGCACTGGGTCACCTTTGATGCGGCGAAGACATGGCGCGAGTTCGAGGTCCCCGATAAGCTGGCCTTCGGAGGTAGCTTTATGCCGTTTACTTTCCATGGAAAAGATGCTGAAAAGGTCATTATCAATGCAGAGGAGTGTCAGTTTATGACCTGCAGGCGTGTGACGTATTATACCACCGACGGATTCAAGACCGTCAAGAGGCTGTTCGAGGGCGATATGGGCTGCTTTTGGGCAGTGGGTAACCCGGTCTTTGGCGAGGGTGAGCCTCATCTGCCGGATAAGCTCGACGATCGAGTGTTTTGCATCTGGCCTCACGCCACCCCGCTCGACCTGACGCGCCGTCTAATCTATTCCGATACCTACTTCAGTGACCGCAAGGCCGTGGCGGTCGAAGCGGCTGGCAGGGACATCAAGGGGGTCAACAACATGGCTTGTGTCAAGAAGTTTTTGATTCTGGCTGCTTCGTCGGTAGGAACCTCGGAGGCCGCGATATACGTTAGCAAAGATGCTGTGCATTGGGACCGGGCGGACTTTTACGGTGGCCCCAAGGTACGGGGAGGCAAGTTTACTGTCCTCGAGTCTACCAACTATAGCATCCAGGTCAACGTTGCATCGCGCAGATCCAGAGTACCCATCGGAAGCTTGTTCACCTCCGACTCCACCGGTACCTCCTTCACCATGAACCTCGACGGCGTCAACGAGGATAAGGACATGATCACCGACTTTGAGCAGGTCTCCGGCATCCAGGGCATTTTCCTCGTTAACATCGTCCAGAACGCTGAAGAGGTTAAAAAGGGTGCCACCAGGGAGAAGAAGTTGGTCAGCCGCATCTCCTTTGACGATGGCAGAACCTTCAAGCCGCTGAAGTGCGGCGATAAGGAGCTCCACCTGCATTCCATCACCCGGCCGTCCAACATCGGTAGGACATACTCCAGTCCGGCCCCGGGCCTCATCATGGGCGTTGGGAATACCGGAGACAAGCTTGGAACCTATGAAACTGGCGACACATTCGTTTCCAACGACGCGGGCGTCACTTGGCGCAAGGCCCTGGATAAAGCTCACAAGTACGAATTTGGTGACCAGGGCTCTCTGCTCGTCGCCATATTCGACGAATACAAGGACAAATTATTCACGGACGAAATATCTTACTCGCTCAACCATGGCAAGGACTGGAAGAAGGCCAAGCTGCCTCACAAAATCACCGCCTTGCAACTCACGACCACGCCGGACTCGACCTCTCTCCAGTTCCTGCTCGTGGCAGAGGACGAGAAGAAGAAGTTCTACGTCATGTCAATTGACTTTAGCGATGTCCATGAGCGCAAATGTGAAAAGAAGGACTTTGAGCGCTGGCCCGCTAGGTTGGATGAAAAGGGCGAACCGGACTGTCTCATGGGCCACAAGCAGTTCTACAGACGAAGAAAAGCCGACGCAGACTGCTTCGTCAAGGAGAAGTTCAAGGAACCCTTGCCTGAAACTGAGCCCTGCCAATGCACCAAGGAAGATTTCGAGTGTGCCGCTGGCTTCCTGCGCAACAAGGACTACGAGTGTGAACCCCATCGCAAGATGTCGCCCCCAGAGGGCAAATGCAAAAACCACGACGACAAGTTCATGGGACCTTCGGGATACCGCTTGATTCCCGGAGATGACTGTCTCAAGAAGGGCGGAGTTGACCTTGATAAGGAAGTAGAGCGGACCTGCAAGGATGCCACCAAGGCTCCCGTCAGCGGCCAGATCTCCGTCGAAACAACCCCCTTCAAGACCAAGAATCTTAATTACCGCTACCTTGAACGCAGTGATACCAGCTCCGGAGACGACGAGACCGTCATCTTGAGAACAGATGACGGGGACCTCTTTGTCACCAGAGACCATGGTAAAACATGGCAACGCGGTAAATTCAAAGAGCCCATCTCCCTATACATTCCTCACAAATACGACAACGACGTCATCTACCTTCTCACCGAAGGCAAGAAGGCATACTGGAGCATCGACAGAGCGCATTCCTTCCATTCCTTCGAAGGAAAACTGCCCATCACCAGAACACTAGGCACCCAGCCTCTATACTTCCACCCGGACCACCCAGACTGGCTGATCTGGATCGGCGGACAGGACTGCAAGGGCAAGAAATGCACCGATCTAGCGTACTATTCGAAAAACCGCGGAGACGAATGGGACCTGCTCCTCCGTGGCGTAGGCAAATGCATGTTTGTCGGCAAGGAAGGCGAACTTACAGCGGACGACCTGATATTCTGCTCGCAGCATGAGCACGAGGATCCATCCAAGAGCCTCCGCCTGATTTCCAGCGATGACATGTTCACCAAGAAAACATCCGTCCATTTCGACGGCAAGCCTATCGTCGGATACGCGAAGATGTCCGAGTTTATCGTCGTAGCTACCAAGAACGGCACGGAGCTTTCGTCCTTCACCAGTGTGGACGGCAAGACCTTCGCTCACGCTGCGTTCCCGCCTAATTACCACATCGATGCTGAATACGCATATACCGTTCTAGACAGCTCGACGCATTCCATCTTCCTGCACGTCACTGATCATCCTGCCAAAATGCACGAGTTCGGCAGTATTCTCAAGAGTAATAGCAACGGCACATCCTACGTCCTTAGTCTGCCCAACGCCAACAGGAATGACCGAGATTACGTTGACTTTGAAAAGATCCAGGTCGTTGAGGGCGTTGCACTGGCGAATATAGTTATCAACCCGGACGAAGTGAAGGCTAAGGGACAAGACAAGAAGTTCAGGTCCCTGATCACGCACAACGATGGATCTGAATGGGCTCTTCTGCCTCCTCCCAAGAAAGACGTTGAGGGGAAAAGCTTCGACTGCAAGGTCAAGGACAAGGGCACGGAAGATTGTGCCCTGCATCTCCACGGATTCACTGAGCGCCGCGAGAACAGGGACTCGATGTCTTCTGGTTCTGCCGTCGGATTGATCATTGGTGTTGGAAACGTAGGCTCCTCCCTAACACCCCGGGCTGAAAGCGACACCTACATGAGCCGTGATGCGGGCATTACCTGGCACCAGATCAAAAAGGGTCGATACCAGTGGGAATTCGGCGACCAGGGATCCATCGTCGTCATTGTTGCGGAGGAGAAGCCAACAAAGGTCCTTTCGTACTCGCTTGACGAAGGCGAGACATGGACGGATTTCGAATTCAGCGACAAGGAGGTGACGGTTGAAGATATCTCGACCGTTCCATCGGATACATCGAGGAATTTCATCCTTTGGTGCCGGCCTGGTTCTAGCAATGAGATTGTGGCGTATAACGTTGACTTCTCTGGTCTCAAGGAGAGAGAGAAGCAGTGTGTACTCAAGAAGGAGTCACCTGAGGCTGATGATTATTACCTCTGGTCCCCCAAACACCCTATGCAAAAGGACAATTGTCTATTCGGTCATGTTTCGATGTATCATCGCAAGAGGCCTGAGGCAAAGTGCTACAACGGCCCGAAGCTCGATAGACTGAGCGCCGAGAAGAAGAACTGCCAATGTACCCGCCAGGACTACGAATGGTAAGCGTCCCCTGCTCTAAAAACATAAAAGCAGCGATACTGTGCAAGCAATACTAACATTAGTTCAGTGACTACAACTACGAACGCCAGTCAGACGGCTCCTGCGCTCTAGTCAAGGGCCTCAAACCTGCTGACCCAATGCAAATCTGCAAGGACGACCCAGAGGCCATCGAATACTTCGAACCAACAGGCTACCGCAAACTCCCCGTCAGCACCTGCGAAGGCGGCCACCAACTCGACCACCTCGTCGCACGCCCCTGTCCCAATAAAAAGAAAGAATTTGACGAAAAACACCCCGGCATCGGCGGCATCGGCCTGTTCTTCGCCATCTTCTTCCCCGTCGCCATCGCCACGGGCGTAGGATACTGGGCCTTCTCCAAATGGGACGGCAAATTCGGCCGTATCCGACTGGGCGAGTCTCAGCCTGAATCTATCTTCTCAAGAGACTCCCCCCTCATCTCTGTACCAGTCACTATAGTCGCGGGCACCGTGGCTGTGATTACCGCTCTCCCATTACTATTTTCGAGCCTCTGGAGGAGTTTCAGAGGGTATACCCGACTCCCTGGGTCATGGGGACAGAGACAGAGACCGTATGCTTCGCGAGGCGCCTTTGCCGCTCGGAGAGGCGAGTATGTTGGCGTTGTGGATGATGAGGACGAACTTCTTGGAGCTGAGGAGTTTGAAGGTGATGAAGAGGAAGACGTGTGATTGCTTCACTTCACCCTAACTCCTACCTACTTCCTACTTCTTTCCCCGTAGCAGGGAACAGATACTCTAACTTAATGGACACGATTATGCTGAACAGTGCGGAGAGATGTTTCTCACTCTCCTATATATTTTCTTTTGCTTTCTTTTTTTGTTCTTCCTTTAAGCCTGTTCTGTTCTTTCTGACCTTCTGGAACTCTGTGCTATATGTCATATATATCTCCTTTTTCTCATGGTCGCTCTAGGTAGAATAAATGTTCGGTTTCTTTCTTTGCTGCCGTTGCTGTCTATCCCCTTGGGTGCATCTGATGCTTTGATATGTATGATGTAATCAGTATTTTGGTTCTAAAAGTTTCAATTAGTCGGAATTAAAAATAACAGTAGTTCTATTGGTTGCGATATCCAGTCTCTAAAAGCAGCCAATGGAAATTCACTTTACACAACTCAATTCTTCGAGTCGATCCTTTCTTTGTACAACCATCGAACCTCAGCTGCGAAGATGGACTTCATATGACGCAGCATATACCCATATGCGTATACTGCACATATCACCAGGATAAAGCCACATGTCCTGTTATTTCATCCTTCCATGAAGGAAACCTCGGTCACGAGCCGAATACTTATCTCCTCCATTCTTCACCGGCATGCTCCGCCAGATAAGCAACAGATATCCACCGATTACCTAGCTAGCCATGGATCTCTCGACCTGGGGAAACCCCTGAGTATAACTTATTCTTATCTCTATCAAGCGCAGTGGTGGTGGATACATGACGACGAAGATCGCCCAGCCTGCTTTCCCCAAGTTTCTCACCCCAGCAACAAATACACTGTGCTATCAGCGGAAGACTCCAGGTCATGATACACATTATCAGACGCTAACGGCCTTTGGCACGCTAGAGATAATGAAATGATAGATGTACCCGGCCATTTCCTTCTACACCTGTTTAAATAACTTGTTCTCGCTGGAGTGATGTGACTTCTTTCGCCTGTTCGTCTACATCCTGCTTTACCGGTAGGGTAGTTGGTTAAATGACACCCAAACTACTTACCTTCGACATGTCGAAATACCGACGCTACGCATATACCTTTACCTCTTTCCATGCCCTACATAACGCCATTAAACTAGAGAGTTCCTCAAGCCTCGCCAATGAAGATTTGTTTCCCTCGCCGCCTGAAAAACGTACCTGGACTGCATTCAACTTCTTCGCATACTGGTAACGCCCAGTCTCATTTCATCCATTCTAGTTAGGTGCCGTGCTTCACTCCCTTCTAACGCACTTATAGGTGGAGTGAGTCCTGGGCAATTTCAGCGTGGTCGATTGGTGCCTCGTTAATCACCGTTGGAGCCACGGTGAGAGATGCAGTGCTCGTTGTTCTGTTCGCAAACCTACTTACTTCCGTCGTGATCGTATTGAACGGACGAGCTGCGGCAGCATACCATATTGGATATCCGGTACTGTCCAGAACAAGTTTTGGAATCTATGGCCAGTACTTTGTGGTGGTGCTGCGTGCATTGGTTGGCATTGCATGGGGTATGGTCCCTTTATACCTACAATATGGACCGTAACTAATATAGATTATTACCAGGCGGTGTACAATTATACTATCAAGGACAGTTCCTGTCCGTATGTCTTCGTTGCGTATTTCCAGGATGGAGCAAGATTCCAAATACTATACCGGCAGTAAGTATGGCCGGTCATTCGGCCCAAGTCTAAGCTAAGTCCTTATTAGAACCAAGCCATCACTGTTCAAGGGCTGATAGGTTTCTTCCTCGCCTTTCTAACCGCTCTTCCCTTCACTCTTATACATACTACCAAAATCCGACATGTGTTCAGCTTCAAAGCCATCATCGTACCTCTAGCAGGACTTGGGATCGTATGCTGGGCCATTACCGCCAACAAAGGGGTTTCAACACATAAGCTCATCGACGAATCGAAACGTAAATCGACGTCTATCTTTGCATGGGGATTAGTTGCCCAGCTCAATGCTGTGTTTGGTGCAAACTCCGCTCTTATAGTTACAGTTCCTGACCTCGCTCGATATTCCACAAATCGAAATGCACAGGTATACGGGCAGGCTTTGGGATTGCCGCTGTCTCAAACAATATGTGCGGCATTCGGAATCATTACTACTGTGGGTACTCAAAGTGGTCGTCTTCTTCGTCAGACCCCAACTAATAATGCCTAATAGGCTGCTGTTAAGAACATGTATGGAGAAGCATATTGGAATCCATATGACCTCCTTAACGGTATACTGGACCATGGCTACACTCCTAAAGCACGAGCAGGAGTGTTCTTTACTGCTGCAGCCTGGGCATTTGCGACCCTAGGAACATCAATTGCATGCAATGCTGTTCCCTTTGCTGCTGATATCACCTGTCTCGCGCCAAAATACATAAATATCGTCCGGGGCCAGGTAATCTGGCTGATAATTTCACTATCAATTGTTCCATGGTATGTACTTTTTTTTTGCTTTTCCCCTATGCAACACCACTAACATGATTTAAATAGGCGTTTTGTTGGAACTGTAAGCGGCTTCCTCCGTTTCCTCACAGGCTATTGTATCTTCCAGGGTCCCGTGGTTGGCATCGTGCTGATAGATTACTTCTTCGTCCGGAGAGGTAACCTTTACTTACCGGATCTATACCGCCATTCCTCAACTGCACGATACTACTTTACCAAGGGGTTCAATATTCGTGCCTTTGCTGCATTTATCGTTGGGTCCTTACTCCCTTTGCCAGGACTGATAGGGAGTTTTGGCAACTCCTTTTCTACTGCGGCAGACCATATGTTTTCGCTAGGCTGGATACTTAGCTTTTTGGTTGGTAGTCTAGCCTACTGGATACTTTGTGCTCTGTTCAAAGTTCCTGGTGATGATGCCAGTTACGGATTTGAAGAGAAGGTGGCAGAGGCAGAAGAGATGATATGCCAAGGTGGGGATGCATTGTCTCCATCTTGTGAAGCGAAGGGTGATACATCTCTGCAGGTTGAAGAGATTGAGCGTAATGTAATATAATGGTCAATCACTCAATTAATCTTCAGTGGCAAATATGAATTCCCATAACTAGTTACGGATTTGTTTAGGATATTTGGCACTAGATACAATTTTGATATTTAATAATCCTGTGTATAGTTTTTTTAGATATCAGCGCCGAATTTCACTCACCGCACTGTCTATATCATGCTGTATGCATGTGTTTAGCTGGGAGGTGGTAGATCGGCAGGACTGAAAGATGATGGAAGCAACTAGTACCGGATGCAGGTCAGTATATGCCTATTTCATTAGAAGCAGGGATATATATACCTCTCCCATGGTCGTCAGTGTATACTTCCCGTCCCCTCCATACATATAGATCGGGAAGTCCAATGCACAGAATTGACGCATACTAAGTCGGCGGTTAACATCATTAAGACAAGCTTACCTGTCCCGGCGGGGGGGAAAAGGGATGCTATGCGGGTGCCACATACAACTGCCGACACATGCCACATGGCGATGCTCCCGGATTTATATCCGTAGCTACAGCAATAGCCTTGAACCTGGTATGGCCAGCCGCCTTTTATGCCTGGGTATTAACAGCAGATCAAAATGCGGGGTGCAGGGGTTTGGTGTAGCTTCATACCACAGCCGTTCCCATGGCGCAGCGCTCAGCGCATACGCCAACCGGATAGCTGACATTCTCGACGTTGACGCCGGTAATGTACTCGCCGCTCTCGGTCAACAGGCATGCACCAACGCGGAACTTAGAGTAGACACCTGTATAGAAGTCAGTCCCTGGACAGGCGTTTCTTTCGGCTGTGGAAATTAACGAACAGTAAGCGCGGTCTTTGGCCGCGATGGCCTTCTGGCCCATTGTCTCTACCTCTACGTCGGTGATTGAAGCTGCCATCCTGACTTTTGAGTAGTTGGGTGTCCTAGCAAGTCTCTTGACTGAGGTAGATGTTTTGTTTGTATGTTATTGTTGAAGAGTAACGAGATGGAGTCGATATTTAGTTGCTTTACTATGGAAAAGTCTAGTGCAAGGCTAGTACCGGAGCGGACTCCGCCGCCTTCTGTGAGTCAACATCAAACACGCACAAGGATGTTTGAGGGTACATGAATATACTTAGATCCTGCTTTCAATAAGTAAAAAAAGCTCTCTAGAACGGGGCATATCGGCAAAAGTAAATGAACCATCCAAAACACCGTACACCTGTATCTACCAGCCATCCAATGTGTATATGTACCGAGAAATCAAGTCATAAATATGGTAAAGAAATGATAAGGTTTTCAGCTACTGGAAGTGAGCCTTCAAGCCTTCGTATATGGAAAAGATAAAGGCTGAGCTGGGTGCCGATCGAGCAACCGTGATACCGCAGCCACGATATAAACCAGCGATACCGTGCTGTCTCCAGACCGCCTTTCCCACAGACCAGAAAGAGGGCATCTTAGCACTACTTTTAGCCGAGTGTGCAGCTATATCTTCTGTCTGAATGCGTGACTTGATAGTGTCTGCCGGGAAGAAGATAAAATTATAGAGAACGCCAGCGGTAGCCCCGGCAATCATCTGCTGGTATACTGGCAAAGGTGGCAGATCGTCTGCCATCCCCTGCTTTCCCTGCAGTGAAACAGCGGGGTTATAATGTCGAAATAGAGCGGATACGCCTTCATAGCCGCCAAACCAAGACGCAGAGCCGCCGGTTTCACGGATGAGGGTACCAAGCTGTCCACGCCAAAGGCCGAGAACGCCATGTGTTCGAAACACAGCTGAGACGATGGCTAGAGGGCCCATTGCTTTGCCTTGACGCTGGCCCGCGGGAACTTGCATTTTGCACTTGACCAGCTCGACGGGCGTGAGGAGAATCGAGGTGAATGCGCCGGATGCTGCACCGCAGACCAGCAGGGCGGTGTATGGAAGCTTCTCCAGACCGCCGTAGACATAGTCCCGGGCTAAGTGTTGTGTGAGGCGGTAGCTGAAGAAGAGAGAGCTATTTTCGATAGCTGCGCCGAGAAGGGGCGCACTGATGCCACGATAAAGTCCCTGTATGCCTTCTTGCCGCAGGGACTGACGGAAACAGTCGATGGGACCGGTATAGCGGAGGGGAAGGCCGTCTGGCTGAGACTGTAATCGCACTTTGACGGTATCGAAGGGGTACTCTATGTATTTTCCAACCATGCCAGCGATCTATTTGTATAAAACAGTTAGCTAGGCTGAAGTTTTACGCACACAACAATCGAGTCATTACTCACAGAGCCGAAAACAATGTCCTTGACCGCATCGATGCCATGATGCTGTGCTCGTACGGGCAGGTCGGACAGTTCGACGTTCATAGTGTGAATGGTGGGCTTCTGCTTCACCGCCGGCAGAGAGTCTCCGTCCATGATGGTGGGCTTGTGGTTGTGGTTGTTGCGCAGCTGAGAACGGGAGTCAGGAGGAATCGGTATGACCCTGGACAGGCCGCTATCGGAGGGTCCTTATAGAGCAGCTGCCAACAGTGAAGCGAACCATGCTTCCAGTGAAGCGGAGCAAGAGTCTGCACGATATTCAGATGCCTCTGCACGGCGGCGGAACGGACAGACTGGTCGCAAAGTAAGAATTTTAAGATAAATAATGCGAGGTTTGGCAGCTTAGGTTGACGTTATAAATAGCCACCGGGGCAAGGTTGTGTCGACCGCCGAGTCTTCGAGTGCACTCCGTACAGACGTGCTAAAGCGTACTATCAACGTAGATCCATCCCATCCTGTGGCTTTTCTTCCTCTTCTTCTTCCTCTCTTCTTCTTTTCTTCTTCTTCTTGAAAGTCGTCGACTTTTCTTTCGTTTCTTCGGCTTTTTTCTTTTCTTTTCTTTTTTTGGTTACGAAAATAACATGATTAGTCAGCGAGAAATGGGGCTCTTCGGCCTTCGGAGTAACCTTAATACGGTTATCTGATCAAAAAGATAAGATCTCACGCTAGTCTGCTTTTGGACACTTTTCCTTCCTCCAAAAAAGCAAAAAAAAAGACGACGAAAAAGAGAGAAAGAGAGGAAGAAAGAAAGAGACGAAGCGGAGAAGGAAAAAAAGGGAAGAGAAGAAGCAGTCGAAAAGGAAGACAGGAAAGACAGACGAGAGGAAAGATGTCGGAAGCCACACATGACTCCGTCGAGGTGGCCTCTGAGAAGAAAGCTGCCCCGACTTCTGCCACAGGATCGTCTAAGCCAAAGGGGATGCGCAAGAATGGTAGTTATTGCCATCTATTTGCTACTATCAGAATATTGACACCCTTGCTAATGTTTATTTGATGTGGTATAGGTAAAATTGGCATGCGCCCAAGAAGGCCTTTAGACCGACTGCCGGACAGACATCGTATGCGAAGCGGCTGGAAGAGCGAAAAGCGATGGCCGTGATGAAAGAGAAAGAGAAGGAGATGAAGGAGGAGAAGGAGGCTACAAGACAGGTAGGCTGCTTTTACGGCTTGAAATACCAGTATAGTGATACCTAATACTAAGTTCTTCCCTTCTTCAGGCCCGCATACAAGCTATCAAGGACCGACGAGCAGCCAAGGAAGAGAAGGAGAGATACGAGAAGCTGGCCGAGAAGATGCACCGCAAACGAGTCGAGCGGATGAGGAAGCGCGAGAAGAGGAACAAGCTGCTTAATTCTTAGACAACATTGGCTTTTTGATCGTTTTCTTTGCATGCGCTGGAGTTTGGGGTTATTATAGTGGGATTTAAAAAGTCGAATTTGGATGCTCTACACAGACATGAAGATATACCAGATACTACTAGCTACTGGCTATAGCTAGAAATACAGATGAATAGGATGGCTGAATGTTCTAGCCTGGTGGTAATTGGCTTGCCTTCTCTTTATCCTTAGGCATTGAGACCTGCTCCACAAGGATTAATGGCATTGAGACACTTCTTAGTGCTTTAATGCTAAAAATTCAGCTTTACAAACATAAATTAACCTAGTATAAATATAATCCCGGTAGACATCTATTTATAAATTCAATCAATGCTACATAGAAACTGTTGCTTACTCTGCTGCAGGGTCTCTGAGGGATGACGTAGTTAGCGTAGCCCAGCCAGAAAAACAAACCCCTGTTAATAAAACTATTTAAAATCCACTGACCCCAGACATCCTGCGATTGTACTGCCTGTGGAGAGCATGCAATAGCAAGCAGTGCTGAACCAGCAATCCTAAGACAGCAGCTGAGCGCTGGCAGAGGCAGAGAAAGAGAAGATGGAGCAGGACAACCTCCGGATACCCCCTTTGGCGCTGCCTGCCGCACCACAAACAGCAGCAGCAGAAGGCAGCCCCGATGAAGGCACCGAGATGCACACGGCTTCACCCGCTCCACCAGCTTCACCGGCTTCATCCTCGCTGCAGCCCTCGCCTCTGCTGGCTCCCAGCAGGGCCTATCCATCGCTCAATAACAACCTCTACATCCCGCACCACGCCAGCATACCGGACCCGTTGCTATTCTCCCCGTCCAGCCCATTGCAGCACCCCGAGGACAGGAGTTACGACGCCGAGAAACGCAGCCGACGACACCATAAGCACCAGAAATCACGGCATGAGCGCGACGAGAGACATCTGAGGAACCCGAGCTTCCCCATAGAGCAAGTCGCGGAGATGCCCTTTCACCTGGGCAAGAAGAAAGCTCGCGCCGCTGCGGCGGAGGCGGAGGAGAGGGCAAAGGCGCAGGAGAAGCGGGAGCTTGACGAAAAAGCTCGTCGTGACAGAGAGGCCAGGGAGAACAGGGAGGAGCTTGCGAGACGGTTCCCGTTTACCAGGACGAGAGAGGCGGTCACTCAGGCTCGTGTTGAGGAGCTGCATACGAGGAGACTCGGGGCCGAAGGGTACGTTCTACTGTCTCTATTCTACATGATGATTGCTGGTATAGGAGTTATATCATACTAACCTACATGTGCAGCGCGAATAGAGAACTCTTCAACGAAATTACTGAAAAATCAGACTCATTCTCCAAACGAATCGAAGACACTTGCAGCAATCTGGTCAACGATGCCAGTGCAATCCGCGGCACTATTTACAGTCTCCAACGGCTCAGTAACACCGCTTTGGCGCAGCACAGAGAATTCCTATATCGCACGACGGGCGTGATGCGCAATGCGGAAAGACATGTACAAAACTTCAACAAATTCGAGCGCCAGCTGCAGAGCATTGCGTTGCTGGAGGCTCGTTTGAAGGCTACAGAGGAAGCATCTAAGAAGCTGGACGCCAGACTCGACATTACGCGGCAGAGAATCTATGCCTGGGACCGTGAAGAAGACGAGTGGCAGGCGAAAATCAATCGGCGCTTGAGGATTCTCGGTGCTACTATTGTCCTCTTGTTTGCTGCTTGGGTCGGCATGAAAGTCATGGGTAAAGTGTACCCTGACTACTCTATCTTCGGTTCCAAGGCGAACACCACCTTGCATGGAAACTCTTCGGAATGCTCTGCAGCGTCCCTTGACAATGCAAAGGATGCCATGACTACAGGCACTGCAATTGACGTTGCAACAGGCACTCCGACCAGCACTCCAACTACTGGCCGCGCAAGGAACGCCTACAAAACTCCTCTTGACTTGGACGCCTTGGAGGAGCCATTGCAGCGGATAATCGATGAGCTGTGAACCTGTCTCTACATGTGATACTCTTTTTATCTTGAAACTCTTGCTACTGATCAATATGATCCTACCAACGTTTCAAAGGAAGGGAATGGCACTCCACGCAGTTAAATGGACTACGGCAGATTTATGGAAGAAGCATGAGGACGGAGTTGGAGGATTTTTTGAGTTAACCCGGAGTTGTTTGCTATATACCTTACATTTGCATATGATACCCCCATACAGAGTGGAGTTTTAACGGAATCAAAGAGGTGTCAATTCTTTCAATCTATACCAATTCGTAGATATGTGTAAGTTCTGTTTCAATTATTTATCACACGGCAAATCCCTTCAACCAAAAACATGTCGTGACCCCTTTCATATGCATGAGAAAACAAAATATAAAAACCAAAAGATGCATCTCCCATAGGCCAAGAGCGTAAAAAGAAACGAAAATGAAGGAAGCCTGCCCGCGAGTTCCCAGAATAAATCATCACCAGGAAACTCATATCCTTCGCCACCTAAGCCTCAACTCAAGAAGGAGGCGCCCCAGCCGCAGCCCCGGATTTCTTCTTCTTATCCTCCACCAACTCAAAGTTATCCTCTGGGACTTCCTTGTAATTCTCCAGTAACCAGTCCATCACCTCCTCACTGACATCTCCTTGTACAGTGATCTCCTCGTTTGTTCCAGTCGCGGCAGCAGCACCAGTAGCCTTTGTCACCGAGCTTCCTGTTGCAAACTTCTTGCCTAGTCCCTTAGCTACCTTCTTGTTGTCTAACCCATGCGCCTCAAGGCCAGATATAACAGTAACGAATTTCCGCTTATTACGTTCCACCCGTCTGATCAGAATCTTGGAAGCAGCTTTCTTCTCATGTTCACGGCTCTCGGCCTGAGCGGCTTTGGCTTCTTTCTTAGCGGCGTCTTTGGCTGCTCGTTCCCGGGCTTCAACGGATAGAGCGGAGAGGTTTGCGGCGATTGTTTCTGCTCATGTTAGACCCTCGACCGGTACGTCTGAAAGGAAGGTAGTGTGGAGGTACCATCTGAATATAGCTTCTGGTAGAGATCTGGGTGTGATTTTTCTAGCCATTCTTCGCATTTCTTCTTTGTGCCGCCGAATTCACAGTACTAATTGTATGGATTCCAGGTCAGTCACGCGAGCCCATGGGTGGTTCAAATGGTATAAAAAGTCAAAGGTATAGTAATTTTAAGAAAATGGACTATATCAAACTAGCTCCCAGGGGCATAATCCGTACCTCTGGAGGAAGAGAGCACACTATAAGAAGCACATTCAACGTTAGCCTTCATCCCACCATAGCTTTGGAGGGGCAGTCAGCGCGGGTCAATCCAAGTTTACCTCCACAGTATATTATATGACGGGCCTGAGGCTCAGCAGGCGCAGTCCCAGCGTCTCCATTTTCAGTGTCAGCCATGATTCCCCTTTATATCTTTGCTATGATCTATAGCAATAAGACGAAAATAAATGCTTTCTTCTGCTTCTTTTGTTTCTTTCCTTACTTGCGGGACGTCGAGATTATGTAATAAACATGACTAATATATGACTAAGGAATGGTTTTCGGATTAAATATATTCCATATCCGGCTATCTTGGGCCGAAAAGGGAAAAAAGCGACGTCGCTTGCAAGATGAAGAGAAGAAACGCTACAAACACGCATATCTTGAAGAGAGAAAAAGACGATGAGAGATGACGGAAGATGGAAGGCTTCCTGGTCGTCCTTGGGATTGGGGAAGCGATGCCGGCACAGAGTTGCAGCGGCGCATCATGGACGCTAGAAAAGGCGGTGTTTCACCGGAGTCTATTTGACCAGGCGATCCCCGATGACAGACGGAGCTCGCCAGCGTCATTAAACATTGCTCCTTTGACAGCAGTTCAAGGAAAAAACAAGTCAGACAACACGATGCTTCGACTGACCTGGCTCAATTGCAATGTTGATTGACATTTAACTTGGCCGAGTAGCCGAGATTGTATACGCTGATACGAAGTATACAAGTCGACGGAGACGGGAGAGACAACGTCATGGATAACTGCGTAGATATGCCGCTGCACTACATGGATGGATTCCTGTCATTTATAATCTCGACCAGGCGTGAAGCGACGGCCGGTGTTATTTTCTGGAGCTATCAATACTGATATAGCAGGTCGCTCATATTTAAGAAGCCGAACCGGTTCGCTTACACCATGTCCAAGGAAAGCAACCAGGCATCGCTTAGCTGTCGAGTATCTATACTTACATACTTCGACTTCCTCGACTTCGTCAAGAACTGCAGATAAATAGACATCTATGATGCTTGGAAGGGTCTCTGCATCAAGGGTCTCAACCTGATTTCCTGCAGAAGCCGCTGCTCCTATAGGCCCCCTGTTAATATGTGACGCCCTTTTTGCATTGTAAAGGTGACCAGACCTTCTGCTGGCTTCGGATTTAGTCGTGCAATTGCACTGATGCATACACGAATAGCAACTATAGGTCACTTAATCCGCATAGCATAAGAGCTGGCGGTGATGGTGAGTTGCTTTCGCTCATATAGACACCTCACAAACCAAGCTAGATGGTAACAAGTTATATATGCACGGCCGTTAAGAATCATGGTTCACTCTGCTCAATGCATGCATTGCGCTGATTAAATTGGGCGACTTCTCAAGGTCAGCCGCTGGGCGGCATGGCTTATCAACTGGCCCAGAGAAAACATCTCATCCATGTCGAGGCTAGGCACCCATCCATATATATACATACATACGTACCGAATGATGCAATGTTGATATGGTCTGGAATGCCGATTCCGCGGCATATTTCCTCGTTTTATGCAGTCGAAGAGGGAGGGAGGGGAAGCTGAATGAAGGAGATGATGGACATTGCATGCAGTCAAGCAAAGCGATTAGTGCCTCTTTGCGCCCCTCCTACCACTAACCAACCCCTCGTCAAGCCTCGTCGTACAAGGATGTGATCTTTGACATGAAAAAAAAAGGGCGGAACATCATCGGCTAGTTATATGCACGCTGGTAGTACGGAGTACACCACCCAGAGACCGACGTTTAAAACAGGCCGATCATCGAAGCAGAACCAGAGACCGTGCCGCAGCCTGGTTCTTTAGCCTGCCCAAGCTCAATATATCACACCACCAATTGGCTTGTATCATGATTCCCCCGCAGTTCGTAGGGGAAGTCGGTCGCATCGCGACCTTGAGATAGGCCAAGGAGGGCCCCCCCGTCACCCGCTGGCGGAGTATTTCGGGAGAAGCGGGATATTGCTGCATGATGAGAAGAGCAGAGAGAGGTGGGAACCAAAGAAAAAACTGGATCCCCCAAGATTGTGCTAAAAAAGGAGCTTTGTGCCCCGATGTTAGATCTCGATTCCAACATCCGAACCCAAGACCAAGACCAACCCTGGAAGACGGAAGAAGAGGTCCATGCCACGCCATCGGTTAACAGGAGCCATCAAAGACAAAAAGAGAGAATAGTAGGAGAGTCTGGCTTTCAGACTTCCCGTGTCTCTCCTCTGCTTGATCTTGACCTTGTTATTTGCTGGTCTTGTTTATTGTTCTTCTGGCACCAAGGGGTCTACCCCATACAGGTACCGTCGAACAAGAAGGTGATGCAGTGTACATGGCTTGCGCAGCCGATAACAGTCGCACCACCGCACTGGGAGGGAAAAGCAAATACGGGCGCTTCCAACTTCGCTCGAAGCTTGATGTACTTACATAGAATGTACAGCACCCTACCATGGTCGAGATTGCAGCATCACTCTTCCCAACCATGGACACAGCGCACACGGGATTAAGGCACTGGTCGTCGATATTCAGCCAGCATCATCATATCTCCCCCATTTGCCTTCGGATTATGTCAATATAGCTGACTCAAGCTGTCGATAACCAAGTCAACTTATTTGCAAACCGCGCGGGGCGGGGCCGAGGTCACGGCAGAGATGGCTGTGCAGAGAGAGACTACCTAGCTCTATGGCTGTATATGTCCATGCACAGGCTAGTCGTCTCTCTGGTCTGGCCGCACCGTGGCGACAACCGGCTCTTTCTCTCTGGGCTTCTTCTTTTGTAAGGCTTTTCCCAGGCTTGTCGACTCCCCTCTTTTGCCATTATTTGCTAGTGGATCATGGATGACTGTCTTGTGTTGTTTTTTTCTCATTCCTGCTCCCGGGGGATAACATAGCTGTATGTAGTCAACTGTCACAGTCAAGGCACACCCGACCAGCTTCCTTGATCTGCCCAATATCATTTTTGTACTTGCAGACTCCGCGATAAGCGGCAGCAAAGGTTTCGAGTCTGATATCTAGACTGTGTCAGTGAAAGCCAACTAGTTACTATTTATGAAAAAAAAGGGCCCCAGATAAGGTACGGAATACGGAGAGCAGTGGGACCAGGAAGATTCTGCTGCGTTTTTCGCCTCCTTGACAGGCTCTGACTCCTCCTGTCTGATATCTCCCGCCGCCGTCCGAGTCTTTCAACTCAGATAAAACTGATCCAGGGCGATCCAACCTGCAGAGACGGCTAGTCAAGAGGCCGCAGGATCAGCCAGCCAGTGAATGTCCCGCCGGCCGCGCGCGAGAGAGAGAGAGAAGATACGCAGCAAGGGAGCAGTCTCATCCATGTAACCGACAGCGAGCCCAAGGTTGTTCTAGACTGACCTCTCTCGTACCTTTTGTCTGCCCTCTTTAGAGTCTTGTCTCGTCTTTTCTTCTTTCTCTGCCTTCTGCTTCTTTTTTTTTTGCAAAAAAGCTGCATGTTTGCTTTTTGCCTCCTTTTTGCATGGATGCGAAAGGTTGTGTGTTGTGTGTGTGTGTGTGAGTTGCGATTAATTACTAGCAGCGACTGGCTGCTATAATAAATAATATATCAACAACGCCTCCGCTCGCCAGAAGACGCAGCAACCCAGCCATATCATGAACTGCGACGGCGCCGAGAGCTCTAGACGGTGTCTGTGACGGTCGTCAATTGGGAGTGCAAGTCGATAGCTGCTCGTCTTGTTCCGGCTCTTCCAGCGCATATAAACCGGCCTGTCTCTATCTACTTCCAACTACACCGACTCCCGACTTTCTACACCTCGAAGGCAGGTAATGCTGCCAGTGACAGGCTAAGACTATCGACTCTACGCTGCTTGCTTTATTACTTCTCTCTAGACTTGCGGTTGAGACACTACAGGTTGCAGACATGGCGTGCAGGGCGGCGGACGACAGCTTCGTGGAGCGAGAACCATCAAGACATGTTGACTATCTGTCGCATTCCTGGCGCGAGGAGGACGTCTGGAGCTCGTGGAGATACATCGCGGCCAGAAAGGACGAGTACGAGAGTGGGCACAGGCTGGAGAACGCTGCATGGCGTTCCTGGGCAAGGATACGATTCGGTCTCGGGTGGTTCCCTGCGGAGGCTCTGAACTGGTCAGTCAAGCAAGTTGATTTTTTTGATATAGGTAGTTACGGAATAGAATGATGGACTAACTATTTGACAGGCAAAAGGACATCGATGTCACTTGGCTGTACGGCCCGCTGCAGGTGCCCGGAGACGAGACAGACGACCGGTCGAGTACTGCGTCGCCGACTCCCTCCTCTCCGGGGACGTCGAACTCGTCACTTATCGATAAAAAGCCGATCCTCAAGAAGCGGACCATTTCGCAATCAATACTGCAGCGGCCTCACTCCACCCACACGTTTTTGCGTCTGGCCAATGCTCTGATCAAGGCCCAGGACGGTGCAGATGGCCGGTACATCGCAGACTACCCCGTCTCCCGCCAGGAGGTCGAGAAATCACTTGGCCTACCCTCAGAGAGCTCCGTGTCAAACTTCTTCTTCCAAGAGAGCCGGGGGGATATGCCGGACAAACGGCATATCAGCTTCAGCAACGAGGTTGCACAGTGCGTTGCCGTCGAGGATGACGAGGAGCCGTTTGACGGAGAGTACTACGGCTACTACAGCCATGCTCCGGACGGCTCTGTGGTAGAAGAAGACGAAGCCTCCGACGACGGCGTCGTGATGGCAAGGTACTACCCGGAGAGACCTCCTCTCAGCTTCCAGAGCACGCCACGAAGCAGCTTCAGCAGCGATAGCAGGATTATCGCTCACTTGCCTTCCACCACCCTCAAGTACCGACCCGATACCCCAGAGCCCAAACAGGAGACCCCGCGGCCCGTACGACCTACCTTGTCTCGCTCATCTTCAGCTGAAACCCTCCGTCCGTCAAACTACCATGCTGCTGCTGCCAGAACGTCCTCTCACGGAGACTTCTTCCTGGACGAGGAGTACGGAGCGGACGAGGACTGGAATACCGGCTGGGACACCGATTGGAACGCCCAGCAGTCATCTTCTATGAACCAGACATCATCATCTCGGTCTTCATCTTCTACTATTACCACTTCTGCATCTCTCCCTTCCCTGGCAAGTCAATGGTTCAGCAACTCAAAGGCCAAGGCTTCTATAAGCGAGGAAGGGAAATATTACTCTTCCTCCGGCGTCTTCATGCCATTTGGCTATGGCGACAACAGTCCCGATGGAGACTACGAATGGCCCGAGGAGACTGAAGAGACAAACTCCAGCCGAGGCGTGATCGATCGAGTAATCGACACTGTCAACACGGCTAGAGATATTGCACATGTCATATGGAACGTCGGCTGGCGCGGCTGACTCACCGACCTATATGCCCGGGCATGCATACGGCCCATCTCCATGGTTCCATACGGCTCCAGAAGGGATCAGGTTACTGCCCAGCTACGACATCTCCTCAACCGAGCTGGCTGACCACGACATCCCACCCATGTCTTGAGTCAAGACATCAAATCCCGCCGACATCTACAGCCTGTCTATTGATATATCTTAACGTCTACACGTTTTACACTATCATTATCTACGGAGGCTGGGCTACTTGACTACCCTCAAGTAGCACTAATCCCGCCAATCCACTGGACGGACGGCTACTCCCTGTTCAACACTAGCCTAACAGCCTACGGGAAGCATCACACCCGTTCTTACGCTTGATGGCGACGAACAGCCAATACAACTACCTGCTTTAATGGCTCTGACATCAAAGTCAACCATCTCTCTCGTTCATACAGAGACAACAGGTCCGTTTCTTACCATAAAATCCCGCTACTATCGCCGTATCGGAGGAAGAAGAGACAGATACAAATAAAAAAAAGTGCTTGGAAATAGATCTATCTATGAAGTTACGAATGACGCATGACCGCAGACCCTACTTAATTACCTGCCTGTCTTTTTTTTTTTTTCCCTTCATGGAGCTTGAATACTACTAATTACTCTAATTATATTCCTTGTTCATTTTATATCTTGTCATAGTTGTATTGCGTAGATTTGGTAGACTTGCTGGCCCCCTATCCTCCTTCTGTCCACCAACACCCCTAAACACAAGCACAAACACCGCTGCCTGGACATCCCCCATGTCTATCATCCTCTGTAACCCCCGAATCAACGTACCATCGCCTCTAAACTGGCCTTCTCCTTCATCGTCTCCTCTATCAATTTCCCCAGTCGGCATCATGTGACTGTCCAGGGGGTCAAAAAAGCGCAAAAGAAAAGAAAACACTCGATTTCGGCGCAAAAAGCCAGCCAGCAAAAGCTGAGATTCATCTTGTTTACACCCAATATCACCAGCATTAATGCCCTGGACGCAGCCATTGGGACCCCACAGCAGCGCCAGCGACCTCGAGGATCCTGCTGTGCGCCCTACAGGAGCCCCCTCGACGCTGTGGCTGTTGATTCCAGCTCTTAGCTAGTTAACTATATTCCGGCACGCACCCCCTTCGGTCCATTAGTTATCTCCCTCGCCCCCCCAGAGCCTGCAGACAAGCCCCCTGCAGCAGCGCGATCGATCTCGTCTTCATCTTGCGACTATAACCGCCGTGGGGACAACTGGGGGCGAACAAGTGTTGCTGGGCGCTTCGAGGATCGGGCGGCGTCTCCTGACAACGATAAAGGGGAGCAGAACAAGCCACGCATAACTATTCGTACATACCTCCTGGAGAGGGACGCTGGGGTGGTCGGATAAAAACGTGAACAAGATGGAGAGCGTGAATATATCGGAACTTGTCGAACGGCTGGGGAGCGACGAAGATGCGGTGCGCAAGATGGCTGTGTTCAAGCTGCAGTCGAACATAGGGGACCCTTCGTTCGCGGACATCTTCATCGCAGAGGGAGGACTGACCAAGCTGAAGTACCTCTCGCTGACGGCCTCGGGGAACACGCTCGCATACAGTCTGACCTCGTTTGCGAGGCTGCTGGAAGTCGACAAGGGATGGGAGTTTGTACAGACCGATCTAATCGAGAGAGTACGTTTGTCATGAATACCCCCTGATATATATGTATGGATAAGGGGGGTGGGCACGAGTTACTGACCAGCCTGCTGTAGATTGTCCAGCTTATCGTCACTCACCCACTTGTCAATATCCTTCGAGGCGCAATGTCTATACTCGTTTCCATCGTGTCGCACCCTCATACCTCTGGCCGCGCCTCGGTACCAGGCATGTTTGGCTTCCAGGCCCTCAAACCGGCCATCGCCATCCACCCACAGTTCCTAGAGATGCTAGTCAGGAGGCTGTCGTCTGCCGACCACGCTCTGTGCGCCAATGCGCTGCAACTAATCAATTCGCTGATGAGAGACTCGATATCAAACCAGGGCGAGAACGAATGGCCCAAGTTTATCAAGCGGCTACAGGATCTAGGTGTCATTCGCGCTGTATATGTACTTATGCAGGGGAGCGCGCTGCAGGATCTAGCCCACCCGCTCATCGAGTTTCAGTCCCTTACAAAACTCCTACTACGGAAATGGAGAGAGGTACCCGTTGAACTGGAGAGATCAGAGCACCGTAGGGCGCTAAAGGGGATCCACCTGGCTAGCAACCCCGAGCGATCAGAGAAGGATTCCGCTGGTGCGAAGGAAAAGGATGCTGCTGATCCCAAAGCTGGAGATGGTGTTACTCTGCCTCACAAGTCGTCTAAAAGGCATCATCCACACAAATGGCGCCGGCTTGGATTCGAATCTGAAAGCCCCCAGTGGGAGTTCCAGGAAATGGGATTCCTGGGCATGATGGATTTGACCGATTATGTCCGGAGATACCAAGATGAATTCCAGAAGATGCTCCTCGAGCAGTCTACTCGACAGGTCGAGCAAAGGTGTCCCATTGCTCGAGCTTCTCTGGCCGTGACCTCTGTTTTGTACGAGCATTTCGAAGTCGACAAGGCCGAGATAGATGATCCAAAGAGCTACCTCGCTCTCGAAGCCAAGACGAACTTCGATAAGATGTTCAAGCCCATTCTCCTTCATTGGCCTAGACTGCATGTTGCTGGTTTACACGCATTCTTCCGACTCTGGAAATCCACCGCCGCCGAAGTCGAAGACTTCACAAAGATAGTCGAGTTGGTTCGGATACTCGTCGAAAGTGTCATTGGCGGTGCTTCGCGCACTAAAGATGTGCTGGAGGTTGAAGAGGAGATGGCTGATTTTGAGTATCAGCGCCTCAGAGAGCTTCAGATGGAGCTGCTAGAGCTCACATATGAAGATGTATGGGGCCAGCATCTGCACCAGGTCCGGGAGGAGCTGCATCATGAAGCATTGCAGTTCGTCAAGGAGCAACGTGTCCGGTGTTTGTTGCAAGGCGCTTGGTTCCCAAATGCAGAGTCCAGCTCGAAGGCTACGGCTGATACCAATGGAGCAGCGGACAAGCGAGGGGCGTCAACGTATCACAGATACATCCAGCTCTCCCATAACAGAAGATTCTTGCATTATGGAGACTTTGAATCTACGGGTGACGACTTCAAGCCTGAGCTGGAGTCTCTATCTAATAAAAGTATGTCCCTATCTCTATTTTTATTGACACTGCTAACATGTCTTCAATTAAAAGTCGATCTGAGCATCGTATCTTCCGTGGTCTCCAATGTCTCAGCCTCCCCTGATGATTCCTCTGGTTCGACTATCAAAACGCTTCCCCATACAGCCAGCGGATCAACCAAAATCACCATTCACGGTCTGGCCAAACCCACTCCTCCACCACAACCCTATGAATCGCCGATTCTCAGAACAGAGACCAGGGATACTGAATATCCCGATGACGACAAACAAGCACAGAATGAAGTCGTGCTGCTCACTCTTTACCCTCAGTCACACAGCATAGCATCCGAATGGCTGGACGGTCTACTCATGATCCTCAACCAGCAACCCATAACGGCAGAAACAAACAAGCTTATCAATCTGATCAGCAACTATGGACTGAAAATTAGACTGCTGAATGTCCGCTTTGACGATGCTGCTTTTACCGGAGACTGCCCTGAAGTCCCTAGCAGGGAGGGTCTGGACGAAGACTATTATTATGATATATTTGGAGGAAACTGACCTGCTACCTAGACGATAACATCTATATACCCTTTTTCTCTATACTGTACCCTTATGCTAATGCTTGTATTTAATTCCTTTCCCTTTCTCTTGGTGTATTAGATATTGTACCTTGACCCCTATTTTTACTTTAATTCTTGATCTATACAAAACTTTGATATAATAAGAGCAAACAGTGCAAACATCGACTTCTCCATGCAAATGTTCGAAAAAGAAACATCGCGATCTATCAAACGTCTTCAAGACTCAACTTCAACCACTCCCTCAAAAACAATATCCTACACCAGATAGTCAGGTGTCATCACTCGTTTTGAGACATTGAATCGTCCACCAAAGGATGTAGTGACCGGTTCTTGGTGCTTTCTATTTTTTCCAGCGCATATCGCCATGGTCTCTTCCCCCCCGCGAAAGCGACAGCGGAAACACATAGTTCTCTCAGACGACGAGCTCGAAAGCCCAGTTCCAGCCAAGGGAAGACAGAAAGCTCAAGTCCAGAGGACATATAAGGGGGAACGATCTCTAACAGCCTCGAGGGCGACTTCAACCGCGACCGCAGGCGGCAGCAATCGCAATGGGACTCTACAGCTCCCACTCTCAACTCTACCGACACGACCATCCTCGCAGAATCTGCCTCCTCCTCCTGAGCGATCCTTAAATGACGTACTCAAGTCACCGAGTAAAGCATCTTCGGTCCATTCAACTCGTACGACTCCTACATCTTCTCCAGAGAAGAAACGCAAGAACACCGCAAAACCCAAGAAGAATACTGGTGATGAAAACATTGGACAGGCTGGTAAATCGCTACGAAGCTTCTTCCAACCAGCTACCGAGGAAGAAAGATGGAGTAGATTACAGCGGGAAAAGGAACGGGAGAAAGAAAAAGAGAGGGAAAGGCAGATGTTTCTGGAACTCGAAAATGACTTACTGGAGGATATGATTGAAGATGATGACTCTCTGGATGAGTATCTATCACAACCGCGACAAAAAGTCAGTCAAAATGGAATATCAAATTTCCACAGTCACACTGTGCTAGATCGACGGAAAAGCAGTCCTCATCCAAGTCAAAATGGAATATCAACTCCTAAACCGGAAAAGAAACCAAGATCAGGGAAAAGGTTCATACTTCACACGGATAGCAATGACTCTGGAGGCTCCTCACAGTCGAATTTTGCGTCGATTAGACCGTCCCCAGCGCCAGCACAAGCAGCTGGGAAGCCGTGGGCGGAGCAATTTGCCCCGGTCAATTTGGACGAACTTGCTGTGCATAAGAGGAAAGTTGCAGATGTGCAGAATTGGCTGAACGAGGTTTTCATAGGTCGAAGTCGACGCGTAGGTAGACACCCTGTTACTTGCTGCTTCAACCTGTGTTATGACGGTGCTAACTCAAATATAGAGTATACTTGTGCTAAAGGGGCCCGCGGGCAGCGGCAAAACCACAACCATTTCGTTGTTATCGAAAGCTCTCGGGTATGAGATCGTGGAGTGGAGGAATTCTGCTGGAACAGAATATTCCGCTCAGGGATATGCCTCCGCCGGGACGCAGTTCGACGACTTCCTTGGCCGCGGTGAGAAATACAACTGCCTGGAGTTAGATGGTGAAGCTTCGTCTACTTCTAGTAGTAGTGCCGCGTTGCAATCTTCTAAACGGCGCATAATGCTTGTAGAAGAGTTTCCATCATCCCTTAGCCCTGGATCGCCCGGGTTAACAGCATTCCGGTCTGCGCTTTTGCGCCATGCCGCCTCCTCATTTTCTTCAATTGCCGCTAGGATAGCAGCCCGACCAACGGAAACCCCAAATACCCCAGTTGTTATTATTGTTTCTGAGACGTTACTAGGAGATGGTACTTCTTTTTCCGATAGTTTTACCGTTCATCGTCTACTAGGGCCAGAGCTATCCAATCACCCGGGAGTCAGCATTATTGAATTTAACCCGATTGCACCTACATTTCTCACCAAAGCTTTGGATCTTGTGCTAAAGAAAGAAGCACGCTTATCCCACCGAAAGCGTATCCCGGGACCTGCAGTTCTCAAGCGGTTCGCAGAAATGGGAGATGTCCGCAGTGCTATTTCCTCACTGGAGTTTATCTGTCTTCAAGGCGGCGACTATGAAGGATATAGTGGAATGCTGAACTGTCGCCCGAAACGCTCAGGTAAAACAGCCGTTCCACCCACAGCAATGGAAGCGGAAACTCTTCAAATGGTTACTCAGAGGGAGGCTAGTTTGGGGATTTTCCACGCTGTTGGTAAAGTAATGTACAATAAAAGGGAGGAACCGAGCCCCGCGACTTCAACGCGCACTGGTTCACGAGCTAGGAAACCCGCTGCACAACTTGGAGATCGCCATGACTTGGTGTCTCAAGTTTCTGTTGAGGACCTAATTAATGAAACCGGAACAGATATCCAGACTTTTTTGTCTGCATTGCATGAAAATTATCCTCCGTCTTGTCACGGCGATTTATTCACCGAATCCTTGGATGACTGTTCAGAACAACTTTCTGCTGCAGATATCCTGGGAATTGGAAATCGTCGGAATGCCCAATCAACCCGAGGAATTGGGTCTGGGCGCGTTGCATTCCAGGGAGCCGGAACTGGAATCGATATACTACGTCAGGATGAAATTAGTTTCCAGGTTGCTTCGCGAGGGCTTTTATATCATCTTCCTTATCCAGTTAACAGACGCGGGCCAGATGCGCACAAAATGTTCTACCCTTCCTCAATAAAGTTATGGCGACAAGCTGAAGAAGTGGATGGGCTAATTGCCCTTTGGACACAACGTATAACAACAGGCTCTGCAAATGTAAGCACTACTGATATAGTGCCTCAGCGATCCGAAGGGGTCGAATCTTGGGGAATCTGTGCTCGTGCTCGGCAGCGACACACTCGGAAAGAAAGTGGCCCTGGCAGCCAGGGCACGACAAGGTGTATGATATCCCGTGATGAAGTCATTTTGGAGCGGCTTCCTTATATGAGACGTATATCGAAAGACACGACTGAGCGAAAGGAGATAGAAAGAGTAACGCAGCCCAAGGGCATGATAAGACGAAGCCAAGAAGTTGAAGAGGATGATTTCCAACCTGGCCATAATACCCCTTCTATTTCAACTATGGGTCCTCTTAACAGAAATCGAGTGTGGCAACCAACACTAGCCACATCCAGTATTGCAGGCTTACCTACTGTTGAACAAGGGGTGGATAAACTCATTCTGAGCGATGATGATATTGAGGATGATTAAGTCCTTTTTTGTTTCTGTGCATCCCCTCAAGGACATGATATATAAGCTTTTAATAGAAATTTTGGATGCATTATGCCCTACTAGCAGTGCTCCCTTCATCTCGATTACGCGATCAATTTATTTTGACCTTTATGTAGGTGGTAAGAGGCTCAGGAACCTCGGAGATAAGATCAAGATCTGAAGATAAGATAAGATTGAAAGTTTTTCCGTTCCTGTTATCTCAAAAATGCGACATCGAGACCCGAAGCCATAACCACGTTGATGCAATAACCTTGGATGTGACACATTCTTGGTTCAAATAGTCACTGTATATGGGTAGGATTTATTTTAGCAGGTATGAAGGGTGTCGCGCCATTAAAATTCCCTTTTCTGCCGTTTTTTATTCTAACCTCGGCCACATCCAGGTTAATTCCTTCACGGTAGGCAGCCCATGACTGGAAGGCAAGAAGAACCGCAGGGTTCTCAATTAAATCGCCGATCCAATGCCGTGCCAGGTTCTACGACGATTGGGAAAACTACAGAACGAAACGATGTAGCAAAATCGCAATCATTGGGTATGATAGACCATAAACCGACCAGTGTGGCATCTGCGATTGTGCAATCAACAGTACCTGCCTGGCTGAATATTGTGATTATCACGGCATTTATATTTGGAGGATGTTGTTCAAACGTATGTCAAATTAACTGCTTATATATTTGATAATTTAGGGGCTAACAGGAAGATAGGTGTTTGCCCTTGAGGCTCTAATACAGTGAGTTGCCTTGGAGATGAACCAAGTCACTATATATTTCGAATGCTGATATTTGGATTATCATTTATAGAGATGATCCTAACCATGGTATGCAGGCCCTCTCTCCATCTTAGTCAATACGTACAGGTCCTGATAATACGAAATAGGGACCCTCATTACCTTCGCACAATTTGTGATCATCGCACTCCTTACACTTCCGACTATCTTGTCCCCCGCCGCTGGACTCAAATCTCTGTTCATCTCGAAACCAGCCATCCCTTTGAAATCATGGGCCATATACACTGCATTTTTCATGTCAGTGAACTTACTCAATAATGCTGCCTTTATCTTCAAAATCTCGGTGCCTCTCCACATCATTGTTAGAAGCGGCGGTCCGGTTGCTTCAATGGTTGTCGGATATCTATACAACTCAAGGAGATACACGCCCATGCAAGTTATCTCGGTTACAATTCTGTCTGCGGGCGTTGTAGCCGCAGCCATTGCAGACGCAAGTGCAAAAGGTAAATCCTTGGATCTTGGCCTAGCGGCTAGCGAAGGGTCTTCTCTGTTTAAGACCTTAGTGGGGTTTATAATTCTTGGACTGGCAATGGTATTAGCTGCCTTCCAGGGAGTATATGCGGATTGGTTATACCAGAAATATGGCCGTGATAACTGGCGAGAAGGCTTGTTCTATTCACATGCCTTGTCCATACCATTTTTACTTCCCTCATATCCTCAGCTATACCCGCAGTTAAAATCTCTACTGGCGTCCCCATCTGTCAGCAGTGTCATCAAGGCTAGCTCCGCTACAGCGCCCATACCTGGAATCCCAGCTCCACAATTCCTTGCACCAGTGATGCCGCTCTTACATCTTTTTGCCAGCCACCCATCGACACAGCCCATACTTTCCGTTGTCCCGATCAAAATATCCTATCTCCTTCTTAACGGATTGACGCAATACCTTTGCATCCGAGGCGTTTATCTTCTATCAGCAAAGACATCCTCTCTAACCGTAGTTATTGTGCTGAACATCCGCAAGCTCGTGTCATTGATTCTCTCTGTGTATCTTTTTGGCAATGTCCTTACTTTTGGGGTACTTACTGGCGCCACATTGGTGTTTCTAGGTGGTGGAATATACGCCTATGAAGGAGCAAGATTGAGAAGACAGCAGTCCAAATTCAAGAATGCATAGACATATAGATTTTAGCAGCCGTATGAATATCAAGGCTCCGCAATTACATCTTGCTCCTCAACTTCAATCTTCTTATCTTTCGTCACAATACTCATCGTTATCACTGTCCAAATATAAGCTATGTCGCTCCATCGGGTTATATAGATCGAGGAACCTTGGAAGTTAACCAGTCACGTGCCACTTCTTTGCTGCAACCTTTGGAGCCAAAAACTCCCAAACGTCAACAAGAAGACATCAAGCTTGGTAAAATTTCTTATATACCCTACAACCAAGGTTAGCGGTACAGCAGCATCAAATTCATACCAATATATAATAAGATACCCCTTGTGTGTAATGGCTTTCTTGTGAACACTTCATACTGCACAATATCCAGGCGGACGGTTGAGGCGAGGATGTGTATCATGGATACATACACTGGCACTCTAGTCACTCTAATACTAGCCAATGTTGCCCTCTCATCCTATCGTCTTAATGATAATAATGAAGGAAGAGCAAGCCTGCGGGAATTGACTAGCAGCGTTTCTGGGTTATTCAGGGGTCAAGCTCATGATCAGCAACGAAATAGCAAAAGACTTGCCCTGATTTTCCTTCCTGTTTATGCGCTTGCAATGACTTCAGACTGGATGCAGGTTGGATACCATTTCTCATTTGACTCTCCTGGCATAACCCCATTAAGGCTGCCTTGTGTTTGGATATACACTCTGACCAAGGGCCATATTCATACACATACAGGGACCCTATTTCTTCCCGTTATACAAAGAAACTCTTCAGCTGCCTGATCATGTCATTGCAACTCTCTTTGCCACAGGGTTCATATCTGGAGCCTTCAGTGCTTCATTCGTTGGAAAGCTTGCTGATAGGTTTGGGCGTCGAAAGGCCTGCCTGGCATTCTGTGTGATATATAGCCTATCCTGCATCGTGACAGTTTCATCCTCGAATGTCCTTATTCTATTCCTTGGGCGAGTTCTTGGTGGTATAGGGACGACTCTCCTATTCACTGTTTTCGAGGCTTGGCTTGTTGCTGAATTTCATCACAAGAAGGCCGCGAGCGATTCAACGGAGCTAAACCAGCTATTAGGAACGATGACTGTCCTGAGTGGAATGGTTGCAGTGTTATCTGGGCTTCTCAGCAATTACCTGGTCTCGATCACGGGCTCAAGAAGAGCCCCGTTTCTTGCAAGTCCCGTCTGTCTCTTACTGGCCTCCTTGCTGATTTTAGGGACATGGGTACGTATAGATACCTCATCGTAATCTCAGAATAAAAACTTATACTGGACCGGTTTTAGAATGAGAATTATCTGGGCAATTGTGATAACTCCGGGTCGGAGGCTACCGAAGGGCAACGTACTCAGCTATCGACGATAATCAAGGGCAAGTGTTTAATGTCTACCGTAAAGACTATATATAACTGACTCTCGGGCTAAAGATACCCACACCATGGTACTCGGGTTCATCACAATGATATCTGAGGGTTCTATGTATCTCTTCGTCGTTTTTTGGTCACCTGCAATTATTTCAGCCAGCAAAGAGGATGGTATCCCTGGTAGTCCGCCATTCGGGGTTATTTTTGCTAGCTTCATGACTGCCATGATGCTAGGGTCTCAGATATCATCTCAGCTGATGGTCTCACCTCCTTCGCGGGAGGATTCATCGCCAACCCCCTCATTGTCGTCGTCGCCATCTACAGAGCCACAGAACCCTTCTTACGATTTTGATCACATCAGTGTGTCCAGATCCTCCTGTTTGCTTACTATTCTTTTATTCCTAGGAAGCATGAGCTTGACATGTGCCGTTGTATTCCCAACCACGCTGCCCACACTCTGGGCATTTTGCGTCTATGAATTCAGCATTGGGTTGTACTATCCAAATATGGGTGTACTCAAAAGCGTCTTAATCCATGATAAGGATCGAGCCGGGGTATATGCTTTATTTCGATTGCCGCTGAACTGCTTTGTTGTTGCCGGCCTGGCCTTCACTACAGAAGGTGAGACATGCGTTCCAGACTGATCATTCAGTCAACATGTCCAACACGTTTCAAGCCATTGTTGCTAACAAATAAAACCGATAAAGACGGAGGATACAGGAACAAGATCTTCATGACTTGCAGTATTTTGCTGCTAGTTGCAATGGTGTTCTCTCATTTACTGCTTCGAAGACCTTGATGGTATCTTTGGCCAGGCAATGATTCATGCCTGCTCCACTTTGTGGTCTCAACAGCAGTTTAGATGTAAATGAGACACGCATACCAGGGGCATCGTAGTATGCACAGCCAAATCTCATATTCTGGAATTGGGCTATTTTTAGCGGTGGTGCTGGCTATCCGGACATTCTGGATACATGTCTAATAATATGAGCTGCAATATGCACTGGAAGCGCCCAACATTCCTTCTCAGCTCCAGGCGCAGTGATTCGTGATAGCTTTTAACGGTTTGAAACCGCGGCAAGCCATAAACAAAACCGACAGATTCTTCCCGTTTCATCGGGTGTTTGAAGCACAGCCAGCTTGTATTTATGGCAAGCTGCGGGAGGAGCAGCATGTAACCCTGCAGCCGCGACTCCAGCAGCTCTTCCAATCGAATCTTGAAAGCTATCTGTTACATCCCGGGCCGATCGATGCCGCTGTCCATGCAACCAATGCGCTCTGCCACCTTTGTTTGGGCTGCATTGCCGATCTGCAAGCCAACCCACGTCATTGGCGACCGATATCCCCAGCACAGCTGCTCCAAGCCTTGCCAGATTTGAATGAGGGGTGCAACTGTATCCGGAGTTTGTATTGCTAAGCGCCTTTGGAGGATGGAGGTTGTAGGACGGACTGTCTCGGAGAGCTCTGAGACACAACTGCAGATTCGAAGCAGGCAACCGTCCAGCCTTCGCTCCTTTACCCTCGATTGACTGCAGTGCTTGCTTTTTCTCTCTGTGAAACCTCGGGGCGCTGATACTCGCCCAACAGATGACCGGCGGCTCGACGGGCGTATGAGCAGAGTCAGCACCGATACTTTGGCAGGCAGTGCTCTTCCGGCAAGGCATAAATAGAAGACGACGTCCTTCGCCTCTCTGCTCTGATCAGATACAACAACCAAAATCCCAAAAAACCAAGGCCATCTTCTCCCTGCTCAATACAAACAAATATCATTTAAACAAACCAACCTCCTTCAGAGCAAAATGCAGTTCTCTAAGATTGTGGCTTTGGCCCTTGCCGTAATCCCCGCCTCTTTCGCAGCTCCAGTTGATAAACAGCCATTGGTAGGAACACAGCTTATATCCAGCACTTTCAGTCGAAATACCTTCTAACTTGGATTATATAGGCAACAATTTACAAACTAGCCAATTTTGAGGGATATATGCAAGCCGTCGAAAAGCCGGAGATCTGCTCTTACATGATCCCAGATCAGTATGTTCAATATCCCTCCCATCACTTATATGTCGTCCACCATGGCTTACATATTATAGCAACAACCCTATCGGATCCTTGAAGGTTGCTGCGGGTACCACTTGTCAGCTCTATGCGTAAGTCCTGCCTTCCTAGGATATATATAAACAGCCCCAGTATCCTAACACATATCTATAGAACCCGCGGCTGCGGTGGAGACCCAGTAAGCGAAGCCACTTCTGACCGAGAAGACCTTGTAAAGGAGGGTATTGTGGCCTATGCTGTTACTTGCTCTTGATTACGGTTCAGTTTCGACTGCATTATCAAGCGATCTAGATTTGTGCATACTATTGTCTTCTTGCCGTTTTTTGTGTATCCTCAAGGACTTAATAATAATGCATTAATGAACACTTTCCACTTTATGACAAGCCATCTTCTCCCTTTTTCGTAGACGTTTTTCGGTACGCGTGCTAGCTCCATACATATTAACCAAGGGTATATGTGGTGATATTTACCTATCCAATACAAAGCATACTGATAGCTACTTCGCCCTGTGCGGGGGTGCAGGGATTCATAGCTGGCTTTGATCATAAGCTCAAGCCCATTCATATCATTTCCCATCTGGATTAAATTAGAGAGCCATATCCATGCTACTCTAACCAGAGGCACAATGTTAGTTGAACAATGAGTTATCAACCTGCCTGTTAAGGACTTTGATACTTAGGGCGTATTAAAATACTTCAGTATCAAGGTCTCTATAGAAAATGTTCTCAGCAAAGAGAACTTTGATATACCATCAACCATTTTGAAGTACGTAATTCACAGAGAGCCTGGTGTAGCAATCCTGTTGTCCGAACAAGATTGCCTGTCCACGAACACGATCTGCCCAGTGCACGTTAGCCCAACAAATTACCTCATATAATTTGAATGTATAGGCTGCTTCTTTAGAGCGGCCTGGGTTCTGTAGACCCAAACTTGAATACAAATCGCCCATGATAGTCGATTTCGTCCGGAACACACTACCTCGACACCAAGTTTCTGGCAAAACAACTATTCCGCCCTGGATGAGTTATAATAACCGGCGATATTTTTCTCGGTGAAGGAATGCTTTAGATCCCTGATCCCGGGTAACTAACTTCACATTAAACCTGATCCACATGGTTATTTGGTTAGAGGGTTGGGGTACCTCAGAGGCCCGGAGTCATACCAAATGCCGTGTTATACAGCGTCTTGGTTGACTCTCAAGCCGCTGAACACCGCATTCAATCAACCTTTCCACGGATTGGAGGCAATGGTCATCAATTTTAGCTGCCGGGGAATCAGCGGCAGACAGGGTGATCCACGTATCAGCCGTATATCAAAGCCTATTAATCCCGGGATCAAGCTCATGACGGCTCGTATAAACTGACCAAAATGCACTCTGTCCTCCATATCATCGCCATGATCAACGATCTTGAGTCCATCTCAAGGGAGATCACCGTGGCTTAAGTTTTCTCGCATCGAAGCAAAAAAATTCATGGTTGAATTTGTCTATTTATCCGTACATTTCCCGTAACCCATCGTTAAAAGACCCGACAACTTTTGCCTTGTCTCCAAAGAGAAAAAAGAAAAACCGAGTATCAAATGGAAAAAAAATGGAGACGTTAAGAACCTTAACCAATCGCATAAATGCAAGCAAAAAATACCAATGAAACTTTTCCTCCTTACTCAATTGCGGAGACTCCACCGGCCTGGAGGACAGGGTTGACCTCTTCATCCTGCCACTGGAGTTTGAACTCTTGCCCAAGTTCCTTCTTCACGGCCGCCTGCACGGCTTCGAGAACATTTGCAAAAACTCCGAAATTGGCGGGATTGTTGGTGTCATTCTCACCTCCCTTGAAGACGCCAGTGCGGACCAAACATGTATTCCAGCCATACATGTTGCCGCCGCAGATGTCCGACTGAGGGTTGTCGCCAATCATGTAGATGTTCTTGGGCAGGGTGTGTTCATTGTGGATTTCCTTCATCCATTGCTGTATGACGGTGTCCGCGTACTTGTATGTTGCAAGCTCTGGCTTTCCGTATACAACACGCTCCAGGTCTCCGCCTGTTAGTGTCTTGTATTGGGACTCAATGGCAATGCGGAAGGCTCCTTGAGTCAAACGAGGAAGGGCGTGCTCGGTAGGGAAGACTATGTCTCCCTGAGAGAAGTAAATTGGGATCTGGTTAGCAAGAGGGTTCTTTGCCCTCGTCTTCAGGCGGCCATTTTCACTGAGGAGAAGATCCAGGATTATTTGCATATCGGTTTGGTAATCTCTAGAGTCGGCAAATACCATGATGGCATCAAAGTTCAAATTGTCGAAGTCGCGTATTTTGGCTTGTTTAACCTCTTCCTCTGATAGCTGGCTCCAGGGGGAGATGGTAGGGTCCCATGCCTGGACATCCTTGGTATGGACAACGGTCTTGAATCCATAGTCTTCGGCTACTTGTCGGACCTTGAACCCCTCACCGCCACAAACCAGGACGGTGTCATAATATTCCGACAGTGCCTGCATGGGAGTGTGAGACTGGATGAACTGCTCGGTGGAAATTGGTGATTTGAGGATCCCAGAAAGCTCGTCCACTCGGGCACTCTCGGTCTTACCCCCACCATTGGTCAGCAATATGTATGGCAGCTTGATTCCGAGTTCGTTGTCTCCATTCAAAACCTCCATTACTCTGGCAGCCTCCGGGATAAGTTTCTTGCCGTGAACCAGAACGCCATCAATATCGAAAGCAAATGCCATGTTCTTGGCTGCTTCGACTTTTTCCTTTGCCATGTCCTGGATCTGTGAAGCAAGCACATCTCGCTTGAGGCTTGCGGGGTCTCGAGAGCCGGATAGTCTCGAAGTTCGTGGAGATTTAGGGATAGGCAGGGCCATGCCAAAAGAATTGCGGGACCCCCGTCTATCCTGAAACGAAGGGGATAGGCTGAGGTTATGCATGAGAGAGCCTGCATCGCTGATCGAACTTCTCAATGCTCTCACTTCAATTGCGTTCCCCTGGTCAGACGGAATGCTGAGTTGCCCTCGTTTGACGGCACTATCTCTCCTCGACCACTCGGTGTCCTGCTGAGGTTGAGACATGGCTGTGGTGGTTGTTGAGAAAGGTTGAGCAGGAGAAAGAGGTATTGATGGAAAGGTTATAGGTGTAGATACTTCCAGGCGGGAAGTATTCGAATCAAGAATGACTGGTAGTGAAAGAAAGACTCGGCTCAGTCAGATTTTTGGATATCAATTGCAGGCGGGGCCGGCATTTATATATCCAATTCGAATGAGGAAACTTGTCAAGGGCTTGTCCGAAATTCATGAGGAGGAGAAAAGTCAGAGTCTTCTTTCCCTCGGAGATCTTCATAGGCGGTAGTCACATAAACATTCATTACAATGGTTCGAAACGACGATTGCATGTCATAATGTGACGTTATGTGGCAACCAAAGGTTCTGATTGGACCCAAACAAATCTTAACTCACTGCCAGTGGTTAATTGTCCATCAAAGGTATCTCTCCAAGTGGATAGCCTGATACAACATCGAGTTGTTTGTCCAACATCAATTGCCCACTGTGGATAAGATGAACTGACGGTGCGGTTAATGTCCGAGTCGAGTTGTAGGGGTGGTTTTCTTCCACTTTCCCCACTGGCCCGAAAGCCCCGACGATCGAGTGGAACTTGCTCCCCGTCTTGGTAATAATCGGACGTGTTTGCTCTCCCGTTGGCTACGAGGTCGATTATTTCTGGGTTTCGCTCAAGGGCGTCTGTCTCCATAGAATCCACTCCCGGGTTGTTTGAGGTCTCAAAGCACATGCATATAGTAAGCATAATATATCCACTAGTATCCGCTATACTCAGGAGAAGGGCAAATGGGAAAAATTGAGTTCGTAATACGTCATAGCTGTAGGCGGACGGAGTCGATTCTCCATAACCACGAAAAATTCTAGGGTACATTCCAGCGGAAAGGCAATAGGATTCGAGGGTTCAATCACGGTTTCGTTTTTATCCTTGAGGTATATCTCGAGGAATACATCGTCATGCAGCTGTCCAGTCCTTATTGAAAGAAGATCATCCAGAAAGGGTAACAGAAGACTATCCATACCCAAGGAAGATATCACTCGTGATAACGATACGGGGGCGGAATCATAGTGCATTTATCATTGCATTGGTAACGGCTGCTAGACAAAATGTCTCGCAATATTTCTTTCAAATTGAGCAACGGTGTCACCATTCCGGGGTTGGGTTTCGGTACCTTTTCCAACGAAGGATCAAAGGGGGAAGCATACAAAGCAGTTCTGCATGCACTTCGGACCGGGTACAGGCATCTGGACTGTGCCTGGTTCTATTTGAATGAGGATGAGATTGGACAAGCCATCCAGGATTTCCTCAAGGAAAACACGAGCGTGAAGCGATCCGATTTGTTTATCACCACCAAGGTCTGGAATCATTTGCATGAAAAAGACGAGGTGGTATGGTCTTTAGAGAACTCGTTGAAGAATCTCCAACTGGACTATGTCGACCTTTTCCTGATTCACTGGCCAATCGCCTGTGAAAAGGATGACAAGCATATGCCAAAGATCGGCCCCGACGGCAAGGTATGATATTCCTTCGAAGAGTAGCTGCAGATTGAGCCAAGATTCTAACAATTGATGTCATGAGAACAGTACGTGATTAAAAAAGACTTAACTGAGAATCCGGAGCCGACATGGCGGGCAATGGAGGAGTTGTATGAATCTGGTAAGGCGAAATCGATCGGACTTTCAAACTTCACCATTCCAGGTATGAAGCAAATCCTTTCTTTCGCCAAAATTCCTCCTCATGTCAACCAAATCGAAATCCACCCATTTCTTCCGAATACCGAGCTTGTCAACTTTTGTTTCTCGAAGAACATTATGCCCCAGGCATACTCGCCGCTCGGATCTCAGAATCAAGTCCCGACAACTGGTGAAAAGGTCGGAACCAACCCAACACTGAATAAGATTGCGGAGAAGGGCGGACACACCTTGGCTCAGGTATTGATAGCCTGGGGGCTGAGACGAGGGTATGTAGTTCTACCTAAGAGCTCGAATCCCCAGAGGATCGAGAGTAACTTCAAGGAAATCGAGCTATCCGACGAAGAATTTGAGGCTGTCAATAAAGTGTCGGAGGGTAGACACTCGCGGTTCGTGAACATGAAGGACACCTTTGGCTATGATGTTTGGCCAGAGGAGGCCTCACAGTAAGCCATTGCTCTGAGTTCTTTAAGAAGAGCAAAGGCAAAATCGAGCCACTGGGCGGACATATCTATATAGACCGGCAATATGTCATATGGTTGTGCTCATGCAGTTAGTTGGGATGACCGTTACGAGGTAGCCAGTGGAAAAAAAAAAAAAAAATGAAGAGTTCGACAGAATGAAGCTCCGTATTGTGTAACACCACTTTTTCAGCCCTTGGTTGCATCGTGGGTGTTGGTAACTCGCCCAATAATGTCCCACTTCTGGATTAAGCTATTGTTCTCTGCAGCATTACTGATTTATGGGGAGGTTAGTTATTATTCGTTGCACGGGTCGTCCTCCATCCGTTAGCAGTAGTAACTAAATAATGTCGACAACGGGATAAGAAATTTTGTAGCTAGTTATTGTGAAATAATAACTGCATCGGGTAAAACATTGTCCAGCTAGTTATTTTGGACACGTCTCCACGTACTTTGAGTTGCCGAAACGAAACGACGTCTTCAGCTGCCAGCGACTGCAGTACTCATAGTTGTCGTGTGCGTATGTAGGATCGCAAGGATGTTGTTTCCAGTAGCGCTGCACCGCCATTCCCCCGCTGGCGGGTCGAATTATCGGCTTGTCGCGCAATAACCTTCCATATATTGCTCAACAAATTTTTGTGGACAACCATGTTGTGTTTATGGCGTAAATTGTTGCTGCCGAGGACTCTTGTCGTTACAGAGTAGTTCGTACGGAGACACTGGACCCTTTGATCACCGTTCAAACCACCCGGTGGTTATGGCACCTGGGACACTGTCCTCTGGCCATGATCTGGATATTCCTTGCTTCGCCCACTTTGTGGAATCTCCATAACATGCGCGAGATCTGATGTGGCTCTGCATGCACCAGAAGCTGCCAAGGGACATGGATGACCCCGTCTGCTGTGGGCCGGTAGCAGCGCTTCGGTATCAGTGCAGCCACAAGAACTAGCAAATAGTCACTGCTCAACGACGCCTGGTGTCTATTAGCTGCTGCTGAACACGCTGAGGGGGGGGGTTAAATTGCTATTCAACTCACATAGGCGCCGGCGGGCTTGGGCAAAAAGGGCGTCGTCACCTTCAGCTGAGCTGTTATCTACCATCCTCCAACGGACCTAGATCTTTAAATAGAAAAAGCAAGCAAACAGCGTAGTTTAGAGTGTGTTTGAGCAAGGGGGCTGCTGTTGCTGTGGATGTTGCTGCTGGCTCGTTGTTGTTGTCGTCGTCGTTGTTGTCGTTGATGTTGTAATTTTGGCTGCGTCGAAGCGCAAAACTCGGAGTTCTAGGCGTTTGCGCCCGATCCGGCAAGTCGTCATCTTGCGCCTCACAAAAGGACTTGCTCGCCAACTTCACGCCTCCAGCTCCATCGTCGTCGCCAGCACATCATCCCGTCTTTCTACGGCTGCGGCGGCAGAGCCTCCAGTGGAATTTACATATATACCGGTTGTTGGGGCTTGCGTCAAGCGTTGGGTTTAGTTATTGGCTTGTTGCAGCTGTACGCCATAGCTTAAGGCCGCGACGCAGGTATAAACAGCCTACCCCCGTAAGTACCTCTACCCTTCGCCGGCAAAACCGCTACATTCTAATACATTCTTTCGGGACGTCTAAGCTTACAGGAGAACTTGATACCAGGCTTCCTCGGGCACAGAGCTCACACGTCTTCCTGCCTTATCCGCAAAGCTCCGTCCCAGCACGCCTACTAATACCTGGCTAGCCACCGACCTCAGCGTCAAAGGACTTCGGCAACGTTGAAGCAGCTACGATAATAATGAGTGCCAATACGAAGAAGAATACAAATGGGGAGGAGGCCGTGGAGAAGAGCGGAAACCCACCGGCGCAGATATTGACGGGGAAACAGGAGCATTGTACGTACCTGCAGCAGAAGCTGTTCCCTACACACGCTGGGCCAAACAGCTCGACCGGAGATTACAGCTTGGCTAATTCGGTTCAAATGGCCCTTAGATCTCAAACGGGAATTAGTCGGCGCTCAGGTTTCGGGCGAGATCGTTGAGCTCAATTCTCCAACTGCGTTACGACGATTTGGCGCCCCATTCAAGTCGGACTTTGGAGAGATAGCACCTGTTGACTCAGAGCTGCCGATTCTACGTTATATATTCGTTAACCATGTCCGGAACTTTCCATTTTTAGATAAGGCACATGAGAAGGAGTTTTGGCAAGATCGTCTCCAGGTGGTACGTTCAAGGAGTTACCCAGGCTACCAGCTAATTCCTGGCGTTGCTATGATAATATCATTTTTTGCATGACATGCTAACATCCTGCCTTTTTTTTTTTTTTTTTCAAACGTTAGTTTCTGGAGTCCTTTGCTAATAAGAACATCTCATCGAGTGAGGATCGACATGAAGAAACTAAGAGGCGGAAGCTCGCAAAGAAATGCGAAAAAGTGGTCGAACTAATGATGGTTTCTGGGATACCAACCTCCTCTGGATATGAGGAGAGAATACGCTTCTCAGAAATGGAGGTTGTTGACCGAGGGGCAAATGAACAGGGGTTACTTGTCAACATGCCCGAAGGAAATGTTATCAACGGCTGGGATGTTAACATCGCATCAGTCAGAACAACCTCCGTAAGGCGGACCTTGAGATATCACCAGCATGCGGTATGTGTTACTATTATCTTCTTTTCTGTCCCTGTACCCTTGGAATGGCTCCTTTCTCATCAGTCTTGTACAGGAATTTTTAATCCGTGTTCGGCAACAAGATGGCCCTAGCATCTACATTGGCCGTCGTTTTGGTGATTTTGCGAGATTGCACAAAAAGCTACGAACTGAGTTGCCTGGGAAAATCATCCCTCCTCTTCCCAGGAAAAATAAAACCTCGGTATCATCGTCATTCATTGGTTCAAACCTGGATGACGATGCTTCGTCCACATCATCTGTCAATACCCTAGAGACAAGTGAAGGCCAATCTACGCGAAACCTCGTTGTTCCGGGCACTCTTAAACATAAAACTTCCATGTCCTCGCTCAAATCTATAGGCTCGCAGTCGCCTAGAGCATCGGGAGAGCTACAGGGTGAAACTGTCACACTGTACAGAGAGGAGCAACGAGTATCCCTTCGCGCATTTTTGAGACTGATTCTACAAAACCATAGAATAGCCTCTTCCAATGCGATAAGGGAATTCCTAACGGATAAACCGATCACGTTGAATGAAGAGGAAGAGGTAGATATTGCAAGAAGAAAAGAGCTTGATGCCAAACGCATTGAAGAGCAAAGACGCTTTTACGAGATTGCACGGAAACGCGCGCGTGAATTAGATGTTTATATGGAGCAATTCAGGCAAGATATTGTGGAAAGAAGTAAGTAAAATATCCGCCGATTCTTCTACTACCCCTTTTTAGGACTCACTATTAACGATCCGATCACTTACAGATGGCCTCACAAAACTATTTCAGGAGATTAGAGAAAAGGACTCTGTAGAAGCGTTGAGTCCACAATATCAAAAGTTTGCAGAATGGCTGCGTATCGAGTACGAATACCCTGCCTTCATTTTTGTAACTGCCGGTTTCATGTTTCTGACCATAACAATCTACAACAGGGTTGCGGCTACACTATACCACATCTTTTTAGCTGAGGATAATTCTCCTGAATTATTCGCCCAAGCCAAACGGATACACTCTTTGATCCCGTATTCGATCTTAAAGAATGTCATCCGCATTGCTAACCCTGCTGCCGTGATGGCTGGAGTCCTGGACCTTTTCCTTGCTCAACCGTTTGGAGCTCGATCTCTTTTACAACGAATATTCGCCATGGCGATTCAAGACGGCGTGAAAGCTTTTCAAAAGTCGGTCGATAGCTTAGCAGCAAGAATCGATGATAATATTCTAGTAGATAAGCTTCGAGCATTTACGGAATCCGATGAACAGGTGAAGAATGAGCTCCGTGGAGAGGCAGAAGCGGAAAGCGTTGATATAGTTGTGGTGATCTTGCGGTCAGAACACTTCGAACCGGAATTGACTGTACGGCAAATCGAGAAAGTATTCAATTCTTATGTCGCTTGGGTGAGCGCAGTTGAAAGTGTACGTGGCTTTGACTTCCCCCAACCATTTGAATGGTATTGCTAACATATTCATATTAGATTAATGATCCTGAGATACAGCAAGGTGCTCAGTGGTTTTCATACCTAAAGCAGCTTTTGAAAGTGCTTACGAGGCAAAGAGATAAAATGATGATGCTTAGTATTATTGAAGAGGTAAAAGACTGCTCGTTTCCTTTGGCATCCATTATAGGTACCTACTGACTCTGTAGCAGCCTGTGACCCTACAACTTTTCCGTGATCTATTCACCATCTTCTACGAGCCCCTGGTCCGTGTTTACAAATCTGCCAACGTCTATAATAGCATCACAGATTTTGCAGAATTTGCAAATGATGCTATTGCTGTCATTGAGCGAGCTCAAAGACAAGATGTTTCCGCCGATCCAAACCAAACTGTTCAGTCATTCATTGACCTCTGCACCCGCCATCAGCACAGTTTTTATAAATTCGTTCATGAAGTTCATATCCATGATAACGGACTGTTTGCATCGCTGATGACGTGGTTGGAAGATATTCTCAAGTTCCTTCGCGAGGGACCAGAAAGTGGAGGCACTCTTGACATGAATGCACTCTTCCAAGGAGCCGTTTCTGCTGGCCAGATTGACAAGGACATCGCGATCGCTGAGATTGATGCCCTAATCAAATGGCATTCAGACAGAAAGAAATGGCACCAGGATAAAACCCGGCAGAAGATGGCCGCTGAAGGTGTTCACGAGCAGATTCCAGGTACTTCTACGTTTAAAAGCAGTGACTTTGGGCTCCATGAGGTAAGAAACTCTGTGGCTACCTATATATGTTCTCTTGTTAACATTTTTCTTCTAGGGTGACTTGGAAGACCTGGTGATTGAAGATGATATTTCAGACCCGTCAGATGAAAACTCTGAGGATGATGATATGGACCCTATAGAATTTGAACGCAAACGTCGTGCCAGACACCAGGACCGGCTCCGTCGTTCTGCAGGGGAGCCAGTGAAACCTAAGATATCGGAGATCTTGAAGCTACGAGACTCCTTTGGATCAATGCTGAGGATGGTCCTCGCATGATAAAGAAGAGATGAAGGAGATATATCTGTCTTTTCCGAATCTAACTTTGTAGTTACATTTTGGGAATAGACGGCGGTTCTGAAACTATGTGAAAGCATCCAAGGCAGATCCAAAAGTGAATTATATACGAGATATGTATAATTTTACACATACGGCATAAGCTTCATCTTATTCTTTGCCTGTGCTCTGTGGGAATCGCTCAACGCTAGAGTAACATGGACTGACGTAGGGATAGCAGGGTAGACGAGCGTGTTCTTGGTTTGTGTTTAACGCCCCTTTTAGAGTTGCGGCAGCGGTGGAGCGACTTTAAGTTTAGATAAGATCGATAAATGGCGGTTGCCATGGCTACTACAACCCTCAGCTGTCCTCGACCTGGCTTCTTTCTGCTCGACAGTACTTCGACCACCCCCTTTACCCTGCTTCCCATGACCCTCACTACCTAGCATGTCGGGCCAGCCGGAGAGCGACGCTTCTCCAGGTCAGCGCCCTTCCTGGACCGGGAGGAAACCGGAAACCTTGCGAGGCCTTCTAGTCAATGGGAGATGGCACTGTGACTGTGAGCCTCGCCGGATAGCGAACCATTTTGAGACGAAAAACGGCGGCAAGAATCATGGGCGTTGGTGTAAGCAGACGTGCATACATTTTATTGTGATATTTCGCTCAGGCTAACGGTAATATTTTTGTCATACAGTCTATACATGTCCAAAGCCACGGGAAATGCGATGCGGATTCTTTCTATGGGACGATATCGCAAAGGAACGAGAGGCACCACAAAATGCAATAGACGCCATGACGGAGAATGCCGAGGCCAAACAGGCAGAGCCAGTCCAAGTTCGACCTGATAACACAAAACCAGGCCCGGTACTACGTACACCAAAAGCGAACCGCATCCGAGAGTCTATACGGGGCGGACTTTTAACGCCAGAGTCTCAGACAAAGAGGAAACGAGACGCAAGTATAACCGATTATTTGGATAGATACCAAAGCCCTACTAAAAAAGGGAAGCTTGAGTCACCTACAGCACCGGCAACAGAGGAGGACACTAGCTCCTTCACCACCGTTGCGGATATTTCCTATCCTTCGTTAGCTTCAAGGCTTGAGGCCTTGGATGCCGAACCAATACCGCCACCGCCGTTATTCACGACTCCTAAGAAATCAAAACCTCCACCAAAAAGCGAAACATGTCCTGCCCAGAAAACGTCGCTTGAGGCCCCTACCACCCCGACTCCTTCGCGCTTTATGTCATCACCTCTTCTCTATCATTCAGCAGAGAGGATCAATAAGAAATCCCGGTACTGTGAGACAACAGCCAAGGCTCTTGGTATACTCGAGGCTCATAAAATTAATGTTACGCCCAAAGCGAAGGAAGAATTGGCGGAGCTGCTTGATAGGAACGACCTAAAGACCCTGGGAATTATTAAGGGAAGAGATATATCGAGGCTGGCGATCAAGAGCCGAGAGAAACGCATAGAAGCGTTAGAGAGCCGGATTTCAATCTTAGAGGCAGAGCGGGAATCTTGGAAGTCCTTGTCCATTAACAAAGGTTACCATCCACCTTCTGGGACTCAGAAAGACAATGATGGACTTGGAAAGGCGCTGTAGTTCAGAGTCTCTCTGACGTGTTTATTTCAGAACAAAGAGTGTTACTTGAAGTATGATTTCATTCCACGTGCAGTTATTTAGTAACGATGCAACAGCATTGACAAATTCTGATCTGACCAGGTGTGATAAACAGATCCGCCATTATTTTGGGAAAAGGTGCAGTTCGTCTGCAAATTATTTGGAAATAAAAGATTCAGTAGGGAGGAGAATTGAACAAATAGAACATTATAAATGCATGAAGTGAAGGTATATATTTAGCATAATTATAAAAACGAAGCGGAAATGCTATGACGAGTGGGGGTGGGAGGGAGTTTAGAGGGCGGCGATCACACCCAGTCCACCGGCAAGGATGGGGAAAACGTTGACAGAGAGGCAGCCAGCACCGTTGCTTTGAGGAGTATCTGGCGAAGATGATGGAGAAGATCCAGAGACGTTAGTCGATGTTGGGAAAGAACTTCCAGAGGTAGAGGTAGAGGTTGAAGTGCTGGAGGTAGTGGTGCTGTCATTGGAGCTAATACCTCTGCAATCAGGGTTTCTAGAGCCCTATTGTATCTATTAGTAGGGACGCGGTATGCAAAGTTAGATTTGAATGTCACATACAGGAGCACAGCAAAGGGTGCCAGACTTGGAGCACTTTCTACCGAGATCGCAGTGGCCTAAAGGAACAGATTAATATTGGGTTGGTGACTAGTGGGATGGCACACGCAGATTAACTTACTTCCAGTGTTTTGGCAGCAGGTCTCTCCCACAGTTGGGTTGTAGCAGCTGTCAGTACCGCAGACCTTGTTTCCAGTGCCGTACTGGCGAGCGCAGCTCTCGTCGGTAGGGCCGCTGCTGCCAGAGCCGCCGGAGCCACCAGAGCCACCAGATCCACCAGATCCACCGCTGTGACCGCCAGAGCCGCCGCTGCCGCCGGAGGGATCACAGCTAGAGTATCTTGGGTCATCTGGGTTGTAGCACTTGGTCGAATCGTTAGGACATTCCTTGTAACCGCTACCGAAGCAGCTCTGGCAGGTTACACCCCGTCCAGAGCAGGAGTCGGAGCCACCAGAGCTTCCACCGGAAGAACCGCCGGAAGAGCCGCCGGAAGAGCCGCCGCTGCTGCTAGAGCAGCTAGAGTACTTTGGGTCGTCCGGGTTGTAGCACTTGGATGAGTCATCAGGGCATTCCTTGAAGCCACTGCCGAAGCAGCTCTGGCAGGTAACGCCTCTGCCAGAGCAATGCTCATCTCCTGAGGCACGAGCAAAGATGTTGCTACGAGCCTTCAAATTGTTACCGGTTCGGCTGAGGGAGTGGACGCTTCTGGAGGAGGCACTGGAATCATCGGGAACGGAGCCAGCAGCAACCAATGTTGCTCCCAAGATGAGAAGGGAGGCGACTGAGAGACGCATACTGGTGGCGAGGTATTGATATATAGGGTATGGCTAAAATTATTTGACTGAAGAAGAAAAAGAAAAAGAACGACTGGAGTTGGTTGAGCTGGAAACTGTCCTCGAGTAAAAGCAACAGAAGAGGCGAGAAAAGGGTGAAGGAGGAGGTTTATATAAAATTTGAGGACATGTCCTAAAAATACACGAGGACCACATCTCGGATTTGGGCTCCGCTGCTACTCCGAATTGGGGAGTAGCTCGCTACAGGATCCCATGCCTTTATTTTCCCAAGAGAATATGAGGCTATGTTCTGATGATCAGGATAGGTGACAACGTTAATTGGCCGGGAACAGAAGCCCTCCATTCAGAGCGAGCTGTGGACTCGAAAACCTTGACACTGGCTTGTGGAAAGTCGCATGTGGAGTTGGGCACTAGTCTGGACTTGGGAAAAGCTCAAAGATGCTTGAAGCCCCTTTCCCATTCTCTCCTCGTATTTTGACGGTGTATATTTTCTCGATGCTGTTAGCCTTGACCAAATCGGGTATCAACAAGGCTCGATCACAAAAAAAGCAACTGGAAAGAATAGGGGCAAATACGAGTTAGTGTTTGGGTGGCTTAATTGTCGATCTGGATGTTATTTCTGTGAAGATTAGCTGTGCTTGAGTTCGTGACCGTTTGGCACAAAGGCGGCAAAGGGTTTGAGCATAACATCTCCTCTCGAGTCTCAAGCCGTCTCGCGTTCGCCAGCGCTGCAAGTAGGCGAGTTGAAGGCAACGCGACCCAAACAAGCTGAAGCCCGAGCGGGATGAAGATATTAGGTTACGCTAAAAAGCTTGGCACCTTTGAGCCTCCTTTATTCTGGTATCTCCGTGTTCTGCCCGCGCAAGGTCCACCCCAGGCAGGATCACAACAGAGCTTCTGATTCTCCTTTCGTTTGTCGGTTTCTTTTCCGCACCCCCTTTTGGCTGGTATACTATACAACCAATATTCAATCCCATTGAGCTCTAAATGATATGTGATATCTTCACTTGTGTGCAGGTTGTAATCTCTGCTGGGGAATATGGAGAGAAGTCGATTAAATTAGCGTACCCACTAGTTTTATAAATAGCATCTCAGCCTACTCGATTGATGACCTGGGGTTCAACCCTCACTTGTTGGGTATTATTCAGAACGGAATTATTGACCTTTTCATGGGACACCTTTCCCGTCCCAGCTGATGGTGAGACGGATGTGCTCCGCACCCCTGCGATTCGTGATGGAAATCCTAGGTGCAGCGTGCTGTGATGGCTTGGTTGAAAAGCTTTTCGGCCACGCCCTGATGGGTAGTATCCTTGGCGTCCTCGTTCCGCGAGTGAGATGACTGGCAGCTCTGTTCCATAGTGTGGGCTCAAGCAAAGCTAACTAGGACACTAATTTCGGCCGTGAGATCACACGCTGCTAGCTGAGGCTCAGCGGCCTCTTTTCCCAGCGAGCAGTCATTGGCTCGGTTTAATCAATCAGACGCCAAGGTCCAGCACTCGCTCCAAGTCGGCCGCTCTCTTTCGTATAAAATAAGGCCAAACCTGCACGGCACAGAGCCCAAGGATGCTGTGGTAGTCCGATGACAGGTGGGCGCTGGGCCCTCTACCCCGTATTCAAGGCAGAACACTGGAGAAAGATCATGAGGCTGTTCAACTGAACATGTCGAGAGTTGCAAAGGGTGCTCAGGAAATGTCGTGTGCATTGCTTGTTGGCGTCAGACTCTATGCTGCCATATGGTGGCGTGCTTCACAAGCGAACCTGGGGCTTGAGGCTTGCCTGGGATTTTTTCTTGCTGCGAACATTTTACTATCGGCCGCCAAGAAGACCTTACAGTTCGGTCCTGTCAATCGTCAAATAGTCGCAGACGTTGAGATGATGATCTGCACCTTGCCTCTGATCACGGCTGGATATGGGCATTATCATTATTCTTGTTCGATAATAATTCCGCTTCGGCGTGTTTATGGATTATGTGCATACGAGTTCTGGAGTATCGAATTCGTTGCTCCATACTCCGTACATTCTCGCAAAGTGATATCGCACGTCTGGTGCTAAGTCATTGCGCGGAATCTCCCAGGAAGATGAGACCGATGTCGCTTCCTAAAACGAGACAGACACCATGCGAATTGTTATTGCGGCCGCTGCTCTATTATTGCCAAGTCGCAGGGTGTGCTGTTCAAATATAACTCATTTCGAAACGCTGAAAAGCTGTATTATCAGGTCTTCGCTTGCCACGACTTATCTCCAGGGATTGAAGTTAAACTCCTCCGGTTATTTTCTCAGTAACATCGTGATCAGCATCAATGATTGCTGCTGCTGCTGCTGCTGCTGATGATGATGATGATGAGGAAGTTGAGGTTGAAGTTGAAGTTGTTGAAGTTGTTAGCATACCGAAGGTTGGAGTTTCTGGTCATAAAAATAGACTCGACACGTGACCACTTTAATTCCAGGTTCAATCCACTTTGAGGTTGTTGGAACAGCAATTTGATATTTCGAGCCGACTCGACTTGACGCGATTTATGCTGTGAGATAACTTTCGAGTAGATTTCCTTGAGCTGTACCAGCTTTGCAAGCCCGACTATTTGAACTTGATCACATTGCAATGTGCTGATAACAATTCATGAACCACACTTTGGTTATCGATATCAGAAAATTTTTCTTATCAGTCGATTAGTTAACGTTACTTAGATGGATTTGAAAACTTCTGTACGCAAGATGAATATCTTCTAAAGGACTTTACATCTGAATATAAGCCGATGAACTAATTCTCTTCTCCGCTGTGCAGCCTTCAACATCTCCTCACGACCACCCTTCCTCTCCCCAGACCATGTTCAGACCCCCTATCAACCGCGCAATGCGCGTACTTGACCGATCATTCTTCAAAAAGACCATACCTCTTGCTGCGGCCACAGTATTTGAAGCGAGGAATCTTGGCCGGATCAAAAACGAGCTGGCCAAGAGCAATGATATATTGAACGCTCCGCGGCTACCGGCTATTCGATATGTGCAAAATCCCGCCACAGAGGAGGAAAAGAGCAAAAAGTGCATCTTGCTGAAGGAGCAGATACAAGCCAATGATGCGGCTACATGGCCCCCAACAGTACAGAAATTGGTTGAAGCGAAATCCGTGGAGTTGAAACCATATGACCTTCACCTTGATTATGACTACTGGCTCTATCGTATGTGCAATCGGGAGATGCAACTGTCAAAATGCAAGTACTAACATACGTTGCAGACGATATTCTTTCTTCAATACTACCAGAGGAACATCTTGAGGAAACCCCAGCAGGTTTCAACCAAGTTGGCCATGTTGGTATGTGGAACCGAAACGCTTGAGTTGGCAGGAGACGGGTATACTAAACTTGAAAATATAGCACACCTTAATCTGAGAGAGCAATATCTCCCATATAAATATCTAATTGCGGAAGTTATCCGAGATAAAAACTCGACGGTCCGAACAGTGATCAACAAGGTGGACGATGTTGGCGCAAACAGCGAATATCGCACTTTTGCATACGAGCACCTGGTTGGGGACGAAGATATGAACGTTGTCCAGCATGAGCAGGGATGCGAGTTTGCATTCGACTACTCCAAAGTATACTGGAATTCACGCCTAGGAAACGAACATACATACCTTGTTGGCAGGTTTAGAGAGGGAGAAGCAGTATGTGATGTCATGGCTGGCGTTGGACCCTTTGCCCTGCCAGCGGGTAAGAAGAGGGTATTCGTTTATGCGAATGACCTTAACCCTCACGGATATGAGAAGCTGAAAGAAGGTGCTGCCCGGAACAAAGTCAGAGAATTCGTTCAACCATTTAACATGGATGGAAGGGAGTTTATCCGACACGCTTCCCAGGAGCTATGCGTTAACGGGCCACGTCCTGTCAAGATATACCCGAAAGTAAAACGCACCGAGGCCGCTGAGAAGAAAACTGTTCCTCCACAAGTATACAAATGCCCACCTACCTTTGACCACTACGTGATGAACCTTCCAGCTTCCGCGATTGAGTTCCTAGACGCTTTTGTCGGTGTTTACGCTGGAAAGAAGTCAATGTTCGAGCCGCACACCCAGCGCAAACGCCCATTTGTGCATGTTTACTGCTTTTCAACCAACTCTGATGATAACGCTGTTGAGTTTGCGGATATCTGCAACCGCATTTCGGAAAGGATACAGTACAAGATTACCCCTGACGATATGATTGGTGGTACGGGAAAGCAGGATCTTGAGCTTGAGATTCGTGACATCAGACTTGTCTCGCCGAATAAGAGAATGTTCTGTGCTTCCTTCAGGCTCCCGGCAGAAGTAATATTCAAGTCCTGATGCAGCGCTTTACTGGATGACACTGGAGTTTGCCTACTTTCCATTGCTGGTTTTTTAATGACAAAGGTGAGCGAGGGTGTTTAGCATCATTCTCCGGTTAGGTTTCTTCACGGACATAGACTTGTGTACGATAGATTATATATATTTTTCATACCCTACGTTGACTGCCATTGGAATGGAGTTTGTGGGAGGACCTTGAATTTTTGACGATACTCGTTTCTCTTCCAATTTTCTTCCATAGAAAAGCTTCTTACTCCGTAGTGTTTCCTGATAAAAACTTGCCTATTAGCACTGATTTTGCATTTCTCTCTCTAACTATCTGGCTGATAATGTAAGATGCTCCATCTGATGCTATGCGTTGGCTCTCTTTAGCAAATAACAATAAACAGTATCATGTAGAAATGTCATCTTCCCTAAGGTACCGTTTTCCAAACCTAAACGCCTTGCACGTTGCTAAAAAGGCCCCTCCCAAACCCGTTACTTCGAAGATAATAAACAGGACTCCCAAAGCAATGTAATTCCCATCTCTCCCATATTTTATATCTCCCCAGTGACGTAATGGAGCAATCACTCCACGAAATTTCGCAGCTTGGTGAGCTCGTCTAGGAGCTCCTGCAGGTCTGCATCTGAGATCTTATTTCCGATACTTGGGATAAGGGACTTTGCTTCTTCGGCGTTATCACAGCATAGGCTCCCTATTAAAACGGTTAGCTTGAGGTGAAACAACATCACAGTCGACATGTAGTTAAGCTGCACATCTCACGTACCTAGCTGTGACCGCTCAAAGAACTCCAGCTCCGTATGCGCAGAGAGAAGACGCTCGACAGCCTCGATATTCTCTTTTTCCTTGAATCTGGCGAACACTTCGAGATAGTCCTGTGTTTTGACCAGGGTCCTGCCGGCGAGCGAAATCGGCGTTAGCCCGGTCAAGTCGCAACAACCAGGGCGCACAACTCACTCTCGCTCTTCAAACTTGCTCTCCCCTTTCCTCCGCAGGTCAAGGACCTTGTTGATCACCAGTCGAGCTTCGGACAGAGATAGGGTCGGCACATGCTGGAATTCGCCGAGCTTGAGCTGGGCGGTAGCTTCGAGTTCGCTCTGGGGGAGCTCGCGTTTGCGATGAGTGGGCTCGTGGACGGGCGTGGAAGAGCTCATGGTGCTGGCGAGTGTATTCCGGCTGTTTTCTGTAAGACAAGAACAGCTCGAAGATCTCAGTACTCAGCTAGACGCAGGCTCTCTGCAGTCTTCAACCTTTATGCGACTTCACGATCTCTTCTCGTCCTGTTTTTCCGCCTTTGACGTCGATGAAAAGATATTCACGTGACATCAAAAGGTTATGTAATGAATTGCTTGTCTGCTTATGTAATACGAGTCTTTTTTTTTCTCGCTTCTTTTTTTCTTTTCTTTGCCGCAGATTCCAAATCCAAGGAAAAGCCATGTAACGAAGAAGCAGAAGAAGAAAATACGCAGCGAAACAGGTAATATCAGCTACACTAGAAAGACCGTAGAACGTCCGCCGCGTGCACACGCTTAGCTGATCTCTGCAGCACCCCGGGCGCCCGATCTTATGGCCGTCTCCTATAGACGAAGGGCTTCCGCAGCTCCGCCAATAGGACGAGCGGCAGCGCTTACCTAAGCCGAGCCAGTCGCAAATAGGCAATCCATCGCTGCCGGATCATTGGGATCAACTCGCTTTTTCGACGTTTCGACCGTCCACGAACAACCCAGGAAAAAGGCCTGTAATATTTTTCTATTCGCCCCTCGTTCCCCGTCCCCGTCCCCGTCGTCGGCGCAAGAGCCAATGCGACTGACTCGCGCATATTCCCTCTTCGTCGAGGCGGGTGCGACTGACCAGCACACGCCTCTGGTGCTAATATATATCCCGCGGGCGACGGCCAAAGAAAGGGGAGGGATAAATAGGATACCTGCAACACACAACGTTGTCGCAGTCGGGGAACCTCGGGGGTGTCTGCTTCGTAACCAGCCAGCGCGATGTGGAGTTCTCCATACGGAGTTACAGTCGCCCATATGGAGGAATGCCAGCTCGGCTAGGCGACTTTTATATGCCTTGCTGTCCTGTCGCACTTGCTGCCAAGTCGTCGGGTGTTATAAGGAGTGAAGTGGTTGGTGTTGCTGGAGTGAATTGAACCTCCAGCTTCTCTCTATATTTGCTACCATTTTTATATTTCTCAACTCTCACAACTTCTCAAAAGCCATACTGCGCTTTTTTGCATCTTTCTCCTGCTCTGCTTTTTTCCTTCTTGGTCTCTCCATGCTGTCTGTCTTCCTCGCTGCCCCACGTGTTCTGCGCTAGAACTGGAGAAGGACAAAAAAAGGGAGCGAGGGGGGCAAAAGACTCCAGCTTCATGATGTCCAAAGCCTTCGATAAATATACCATCGGCCCAGAGAGCCCAGACGTCCATAGCAAGTATCAGCCAACAGATGAATTTGTCTTCCGGAGTCCGTTTGGGCCGTTTCCCAAGGTAGACCCAGATCTGAACTTGCATGATTTCTTCTTTCCCCAGGAGAAGCCAATTGACCAGCCGGACCATGATCTATTCATAGATGGGTATACAGGCACCACGGTGTCGTTGTATCAGTTCTACGACAGAGTATTATCTCTCTCGAGAGCCCTGCGGCATGACGGACCTAACCCGGTTGGGCTGGGGCAGTCGCCGGTAGATGATAACGGCAGTGGTGAAATCCTGGGTATATTATCAGGGAACCATCTATCATGGCCGTTGCTGGTGCATGCATGTTTCCGATCAGAGCTTGTTTTTGGTAGCATCAGTCCCAATTCAACGCCTTATGAATTATACCATGTCATGCGCAAGATGCAGGTCACATCAATGGCCGTCCATGAGTCTCTGCTCCCCCTGTTGATGGATACTGTCCGGAATGGTCCTCAGACGGGCAATGACAGCAGACTTGAGTTTGTATTTGACACCAGCAAGATAGTAGTCATATCGGATGATCCCACGCTGCACACAGTGCAGGGTTATCCTACAGTTGAGTCGTTAGTTCGACTTGGCTCAAAAACATCAGAGAAACCGTGGAAGCGTTCAGGGGGAGAACGGTTATGCTACCTCCTTCAGTCGTCAGGGACATCTGGGTTTCCAAAAGCCATGATGATATCGCATAAAAACGCCATACACACTACCCTGCAGGGGATGATAACCTCGCGGCGGACGGCAGAGTTTGTAAGCTTTGACACATCCATATGGCCTGCCCCGCCTTGAATTGGGCATACTGATATAATCGAATTAAAATAGATGAATATGGCGCCACCATTGGCTGTGCTCCTAGGTATAGTCCCGGCCTATCACTCATATGGCCTGACTATGTTCGCTCTTCGAGTCAACGTGATGCGAAATACAAACGTATTAATGGCCAAATGGGACCTGGAGGCCGCTCTGAGGCTTATTGAAAAGCACAAGATCACCACTCTCCCTCTCGTGCCACCGCTTGTCCGACAGCTCGCTCTATCGCCCCTTACTGAGAAGTATGACCTTTCATCCGTCACCTTGGCCCTAAGCGCAGCAGCCTATCTCCCGCCAGACGTAGCTCACAGCCTAGGCAAGAAGCTACCGCAACAGGCCCCCATCCAATCTGGCTATGGACTCTCAGAGGCGCTCTCTGTCGCCCAGCCGGTGGTCGAGGGTCTCTTTGGACTCTCACGCGCCCAGCCAGGAACGATTGGACATCTGATGCCTGGCGTCGAAGCCAAGCTGGTTGACCCAGACACATTCAAGCCTGTACCCAAGGGAACCAAGGGTGAGCTCTGGGTTCGAGCGCCCGTCGTAACTCCGGGTTACTACAAGGACCGGGAAGCAACCGCCAGCCTGTTCGCCGAGCCCGGCTGGCTGAGAACAGGCGACCTGATGATGCGAGACGCAGAGGACCGGCTGCACTTTCTCGACCGGCTGAAGGAGATGATCAAGGTGAAGGGCATGCAGGTCGCGGCCACAGAAGTCGAGGATATCCTGCTGTCTCATCCGGACAGGCTGGTGCGAGATGCGTGTGTTGCCGGGGTCGACAACGGCCGGGGAGACGGTGGCCTCTTCCCTCGGGCGTGGGTGGTGCTCTCTGAGGAAGGCAGACGACGAGATGCGAACCAGGTCGTCGTGCAGCTCGACGAGTTTGTCAAGAGCCGGTTGTCCAAGTACAAGCATCTTGCCGGCGGTATCGAGATAGTCGACTCTGTAAGCCGGCCCATTTTGTATTCTCGAAGTTCTATATACTGACTGAGAGCAGATACCACGGACACCCTCGGGCAAGATGCTGCGCAGAGCGATGCGAGACCAGTACCACTCGCGCCAACGGGACAAGCATGACAAGGCGAGGCTCTAGGCGGCTAGTCTGCAGCCTGTGGCTTAGCGACCTATTTTTACCACGCCCAGCCTTCCGCCGTTCTCCATCCTTTATCTGTCTTCTTTTGTGTCTGCCTGTTAGTTTCTCTTGCATCGTACTTTATATAGACTTTAGCCTGCTTGATAATATCATTATTGGAGTTGTTTCATGTCCGGCGCCACTGGTTGTAAATATAGCATGGTAGGAGAAGTGTTTCATCAGGCTGCACAACCAGTGGCAACGTGTCTGTACCTGAGTAGTTCAAACTCTTACCTTGATATTACCATCTACTTAGCTTTATGCCTACATCTACATCTACATCTACATCTCCATCTATATAATTTCTATATTATATCTATATCTATATCGTGTCCATGTCTTCATCACGTGAGTCTGTTTCCCTTTCGCCCCTTTGGGACTAGCGCGGCCTCCGAATCAGCGACTTCGAAAACCGCAAAAGAAACGCCAAAAAAACGACGACGACGACGACGCAGCAAAAGAACTACATCCTCGTCCTCGACCTCCTCCAGCGTCACCGCAGCTCCCTGTCCGGCTGCTGCTGGCCGATCCACGCGTCTCTGCCGCTCCCGTCGCTCGCTCGCACCGGCCTGGAGGACCACAAGTAGTCGCTTCGGGCTAACTATCGGTCTGCATGCCAAGCAGTGTCGCCGGCTGGTCAGTTATCCCTGGGGCATCAAAAAGCAACTACATACACCACCACACGCCAGCGGCATAGCGCACTACTTGCAACCTAACTGCTGCTGCTGCTGCTGCTGCTCCTGACATCACCAGCCCCGGCACGCCAGTGACAGCCAGCGACGGAAAAACGCAGGCTCTTCTGCAAGGTAAGCCGTGAAGGATGCAGTCGATGCTCCTCCCTCGATGTTCTCTTTGCTTTTTGGCCCGACTGTCCTCCCTGGCTGGTTGTGCCTGTCCCGCTAGCCGCAGTGGAAAACCGTTTACCCGTTGCTGTGCTTCGATGACCTGCCAACTAACTGACCGTCCTGGCCCTCCTCCGCTCCCCCCATTATAGGTTTTTTTCTGTATGGCTCGATAGGAACTGCTGCAACGCCCGCCTACGCCTCTTTACCCGCCCTCTTCCCTCGCTGCCATTGTCTCTCCTTTCAGCAGCGTCTGGCTCCGGGGCGGAATCTAATAACGAATTTAATGAAAAAAAAAGGGAACCCCCCAGAGAAAGGTATGCGTTCCCCACTAACCAGCCTCCTCCTGAAAGATGCTATTGATGAAACCTGCCCCAAGCAAAACCCCCCTACCTGCTAGAGGATGGCCACTCTTGTTTCTGACTTCTGCGTGAATCTGCCTAGACACTCTGCCCTGTCCAGCTCGCTCTTACACACACTCGTTCATTTTACCTCGCTCTACTCTACTGCTGCTTGCTCTTTTTCTTCCTGCCTCCTGTGCCCGGCCTGACAGACTGTGAGCCTTTGGAGAAATAACACACAGACGACCTCACCTTTTTAGTTACCCCGGGTTTACTCCTTATTTATGCTTAACTGCAGTCTTTGCGTCACCTAGACTACAAGCCTCCTGGACCTCTAAGCGCTGTCCGGGCCGCTCTGTCGCGTATTTCACTCATTCTCTCACTCTCTCGCTTGCTTGCTCTCCCTGAACCGACGCGCCCTCAACCTCCAAAATAGGGGATACCGTTCTCCTTTCCTCTCTTTCATCCTCCCTGTCTCTCTTCAGAAGCCATAAAAAGAAATAAAAACAGAGAGAGACAGTTTCTACGAAAGAAAAAAAAAAAAACAAAAAAGCAGGATACTCACCTCGGGCGGAGGTGGTCGACGCAGATATGGCGTCTGCAGGTGGTCGTCATATTCCACCCAACCTGCTACCCGGAAATCGAGGCGAAGATGGTGGTTTACAGACCACAAACACATCCGGCTTCCAGGGCCAGTCGCCCATAGACAGTCCTGACGGCAACAGAAGTGCTCCCTGGTCCGACATCCCCCCGTCCGCTCCCAGCGAGTCCAATGTCAACTCTGAAGAACGCTCTCCCCGACAGCCAGATTCCTACCGAAGCCCTGGCAGAAACAAGTCGCGCGATCGACATAATAATAATAATTCGAATGGCCCTTCCACCAGCAAGTCTCCCAGCGGAAATGCCAGAATCTGCAGAGTCTGTGGTGAGCCTCTGCTGGGACAGTTTGTCCGTGCCTTGGGAGGTACATTCCATCTCGAATGTTTCCAGTGTAAAGTATGTCGTTTCTTCCCCCATTACCAATCTCATAATACAACACTCTAACGTGAATGAAAAAAAATAAAGGACTGTGGAGAGATTGTCGCATCGAAGTTCTTCCCCGTCGACTCTGAAGATGGCAATTCCCAACATCCGCTTTGTGAACGAGACTACTTCCGACGACTAAACTTATTGTGTTTCGAGTGCGGAGGCGCTCTCAGAGGATCCTACATCACGGCTTTGGACCACAAATATCACATTGAGCATTTCACCTGCTCCGTCTGCCCTACCGTCTTTGGAGCTCAGGACAGTTATTACGAGCACGAGGGCAAGGTATACTGCCATTACCACTACTCGACCCAATTCGCTCAGCGATGCAATGGCTGCCAAACCGCAATCCTAAAACAGTTTGTTGAGATCTTCCGAAACGGCCAGAACCAGCATTGGCATCCTGAATGTTACATGATACATAAATTCTGGAACGTGCGCCTCTCTCCAAGTGGGAAGACATTCGAACCGCCAGAGATTGACCGCGATGTCAGCAATGAGGAACGAGACCAGATCCGTGACGAGGAAGAAAAGATGGAAGAAAAGGTCTACCGTATCTGGAGCGTGCTTTCTGCATTTGAAGAGTCTTCTGCCGCGTGCATTTCCGATATGTTGCTGCATGTTAGCAATGGTGCATACATCGATGGCGTTGTTGTTGCGAAAAAGTTCATTTTCCACGTCGAGGTCCTCTTCAAGGGTACGGACCAGCTTGCATCTCAAATTTCTGCACTTGGCGTAAAAGGTAAGTCATCTAATATCTCTCCTCCTTTTCCCCAAACAATTGCTTATGCTTATAACTGGGAATAGAAATGGCATATGGCAGAGAAGCAAAACTGCTTTGCAAGAAAGTTGTCTCTTTCTTTTCATTACTTTCAAAGACACAAGAGACCGGAGTTCGGAAGCTTGGAGTGACACAGGAGCTCCTCGCCCTTGTTACTGGGCTGGCGCATTATTTAAAACTCCTCATCCGCATTGGCTTGCAGGGCTCTCTTAGATTAGAGCGTGAAACAAAGACCCCAGATGCCCTCTATGCTTTCCTAGACCTCACTGCAGATCTTGAGGAAGTAAACACTATCACAGCCAGTGATCTAAATGCTGATACCTCACAGCTAGCTCACTCTCAGTCTGACTGCTGCGCTGCGTGCACTGAACCAATTGACGATGAGTGTATTGTCTTGGGCCGGAGACAATGGCATAAGAAGCCGCCGCACCTTGTCTGCGGCGCGTGCCAGGATGACCTAACACATGACCTGGAACGCGCAAGATGGAGTGAGAAGAATGACCGACCATTCTGCCAAAACTGTGCTGTACAGAGAGGACATGATCCCCAGGCCATTTCTGGATTTGAAAACGTTACCAAACTACAGCAATACGTCTTCCTGCTTCGAGTGGCTCTTGCTAGACTCCTTTCTGTCTTACGATCTGGTGGTACTCTGCCACATACATCGGGTATGTCTGCGTTCTACCACTCAAACAATTCTTGACTCTCTACTGACTATCTATATAGATGACCCCAACTTGAAGGAATACGAGGCAAATGATGGCCACCGTATTCCTCCACAGGCTGATCCCCATCTGCCACCTCAGCGTCCAAGTACTCGCTCAATGTCCTACACTGGCGAGCAAAAGGAAGAGAAGGCGCCTTCATCCCTTGAGCAGACAGTCGGTGAAATGAGAAGACTCCGATCTACTAGGAATGAGCGGGCCATTTCCACAACTTTCAAGAAAGCTCGAACTTCGCGCATAATCTCTGGCCCTGAGAGCAGCAGTGTCCAACCAGGTGCTCCTGGAGGTGCCAACAATGGTCAGAACCAGAACTTCCAAATCGTCGAAGAACGGGACGCTGATGGCGAGCCTGTTGCTGACCTTACCTTTGGAAACCAAGATGCTCTCACTTTGGACGATATTCCAAGAATTGTTGCTGCCGAGCAGGCCAAAGAGCAGCGTCCTAACGCGTATAAGCATGCTGGTGGTAATCTCATTGGAAGCGGCGGCCCAGCTGCTAAGCTTGTCAATGGCCATCAACGAGGAGTATCCGTTGACCAGCTGGGTGCCATGGAACGACCTAGAGCTAAGAAATATTTCTCAGAGTTATCTGCTCTAGAATACTTCATTGTTCGACACGTTGCTGTCCTTTCCATGGAGCCCTTGCTGGAAGGAAGCTTCAATCTCGAAGAACTCCTTGGTCTCATCGAGCCTCGCAAGCCAACTATCTGGAACATCTTTAACCGTGCTTTCAAGAACGATCCTCGCAAGGTTGGCAAAAAGAAGGGCGTTTTCGGCGTAGCCTTGGAAGTCATCGTTGAAAGAGATGGAACAGAATCAACCCACGGAGTTGGCCCTGGCACATTGCGAATTCCAACCTTTATCGACGATGCGATTTCCGCCATGCGGCAGATGGATATGTCTGTTGAAGGTGTCTTCCGTAAGAACGGAAACATTAAACGACTCAGAGAAACCGCTGAGCTTATTGACACCAAGTACGAGGCTGCTGAGTTGGACAAAGAGTCCGCCGTTCAAGTTGCGGCTTTGATGAAGAAGTTCCTTCGAGAGATGCCTGATCCTCTCCTTACCTTTAAGCTTCATAGCTTGTTTGTTATTGCACAAAGTAAGTTCATTTTCGTCCAATGCCATTTTTTAACCAGGAAAGACGTAATGGCTAATTTAAAATAACTGTAGAAATCGCTGATCCAGTAAAGCGCAAGCGAGTTCTTCATCTGACTTGTTGCTTACTTCCAAAGTCACACAGAGACACTATGGAAGTATTGTTTTCATTCCTTAACTGGGCTTCTTCGTTCTGCCATGTTGATGATGAGACCGGTAGTAAGATGGATATTCATAATCTTGCTACCGTTATGACCCCGAATATACTCTACTCTAATGCAAAGGTTGCTGGTGTTGACGACAGTTTCTTGGCTATTGAAGCTGTCACCTCCTTAATTGAAAATAATGATACAATGTGTGAGGTACGTATCGCGTCATATCCCAACCACATCTCCGTATTGTCATGCTAATGTGACCATTGTAATAGGTTCCGGAAGACCTTCTGTCTATCCTAACCGATTCGACGCTCTTCAACGGCAGTGCTGAAATCACTACCAAAGAAATCCTCAAGCGTTATGGGGCCTTGGGCAAACTTCCTGTGCCCCAGAGGGCCCCGACAGTCGCGGAAACCATTCCTGTGCGTTCTGGCTCTTCGAAAGGAAATAATTCTCCTATTGCCGCGCGTATTGACACCGATCCGTCTCAAGCTACAGCATGGCAGATGCAGAGTTCTGTGAGGCACGTCCACGGGCCTCAGGATCCTAACGCTCCCTTCCCTCCACAACCAATCCGAACTAATACCGGCGACAGCAACCAAGGACAAGGTCAGAGCCAGGGCCAGGGATACGGCGGAGTTCCACCACAAAAACCCCAACACCAGCAACACCTGACACAACCACCAATGGCATACCGTGGCCGCCCTCCTGCCATCTAAGTGATGTTTTCTACACGTTTAACTAATTCCAGAGGAAGGAAGAGATTAAAAAATTCATGAGACGACCTTGACCTGCTTCTTGCATATTCGCATATGGCGTCCGAATCTACCCTATTTGCATTCCACCGGACCGGGCAACAATCTACGGCGCGGTTCACTTGGTGCTCAAAACTTGGTTCATTGGGGATTTGCTTCTCTTTTGTTTTTGGCCTTTTCCTTTTCTTCATTTCCTTCTTCCCTTTGCTTTATTCTATACGGAACAAACGGTCTGGTATTGGTTTAATCTTCTTCGTTTTTTCCTCTCTTGCTTTGATTCTCTCCCTTCCTTTTTTTCACTTTTTTTTTTTTTTTTTCTTGACCTTCTTATTTCACTTTTTTCTCGACCCTTTCCCCTTCACTTGCAATTCTAAAACGATGAAAAAATCCTTTCTCAAAATGCAGCGGACACTGTATCTTGGATGCCATTTGGTCTGACAAGCATACCCACATACCCCTTTTACCTTTACCTTTTGATTCCCATTTCTTTTCTCTTCTCTTCTACGGAGGCCCATCCTCTCCCCCTTTTACTCAATCTGTGTGATTCTAATATCCCTCTCTACCTCTCTCCAACCCGACCTCTTCTTCATGCATATCCATTTGACAACGTACCTCAATTCCCCAATGCCCTACTTCTGCAAATACCTTCATAGTTATGACAAACAAGTTCCCCTTTTAATTTCTTCACCTTCTTTTCGACCTTTCTTCTCTTTTTTTTATTGACTGATTACTATTGATTCCCCCTATTTTTGCTCGTTTCTTGCCTTCTCTTCCGCCCACCTTTCCCCTTTAATTGACTTTTAACTTCTACGCCAATCCACACTATCTTCTTCCCTCTCTCTTTGCATTTTTTACCCTTTTTTTCGCTTGCGTTCCTGACGTCTCAATATACATTAGCCTGTCCCGTTTTCGTCTTCTTCGCTACATGATTGCTTGCTGCTTTTGCTCGCTGTGGACGTATACCAGTGGTTACTAAATCTTTTTTGTTGCTTTCTTAATTCCTCGATACAAAAAATCATGCCGCATCTTGCTTGTTTTCTAATACCCGGTAGGCGCCACTTAGCTAGAGACATACATGGTGATGGCAATTACCCCGTAAATACGTGTTTTCTTTAGCTTCTGCCCCTTTTCCTCGTTCCTGTGGTGCAATTTATGTATTATTCACTTCTAGGAGAAGCAACGCGTTTGCCTAGAACGCTAGACGCTTTTTATATGGATTTATAAAATGCGAAGAATTCCCTAGTTCTGTTGAGTCTGAGGGAAGTAAACATTATTTATACTCCTAACTCCTAAATATGCCAACCATCCTTAACAAACCAATCTCAATAGCCACCGAGGTTTCAAATATCATTATAAAAACGCTTAAGGCTTGAAAATATCAAGTTGAATCACCGAATATGAAGAATCGAAAAGCGATAACCAAGAACCTGTAGCTAATGTAGGTGCCTCTAGACCCTGCTTCGAAGGACTCTCCTCCCAGGAGCGGGCTGTTCAACTCCTTGGCCCTTTCTAGCAGCAGCAACAGTCATTTTTCGGGCAGTTGAAGCAGTAGCTGAAGTAGCCGTGGTGGCAGCCCGGCTTCTAGAAGTCGGCGGTTTCTTTGATGACGCGCTAGAAGCCTCAGCCTTCTTGGTAGCGGCAGTTCTCGCCGAGCGTACAATTGTCGTTCCAGAAGTTGCTGCTGAGGCATTTGATGATGTGGTGCTGGTACTGACTTGCCGGTTGGTTTGGCGTGTAGCTGTCCTTGCGGGGGGCTTTCTTGTGCCAGCTGGCGCCGATTTGACAGACATGGCCTTCTTTGGCCTGATGACCCTTCCAGGTACAGAGTCAGAGCTGTTGTCGGGCGGGGTTACTCGGCGAACCCCGGCTGCGCCCCTCATGGTCCTAAGCTTAGGGGTAGCGGGAGTAGCAGCATAATTCATGTGTTTTGTAGGGCTTGTGTGCTTGATGGGGGAGAAGGCACGGATATGATAGGGTTCTTGCTGCTGTGTCTTGGTAGGTGACATCTTCAAAGGTGATTGCGGAAAGGTCCTGGAATTCGAGGACTTTGGTGATAGGATGTTAGACTCTGTGCGTTGGGATACATTGCGGGATGAAGAAGCTGGCATGGTTGGCCTGCCCCGCTGCTTTGGATTTGTGAGGGGATGATTTGAAAGATCAGGGTATCCGGCATTTTCCTTATCAGATGAGCCATGACTGTAATATTTAGTTAGAATCTATCCTTAACCAAGGGGTAAACGAGCTAATTTACCTTTGTCGTGAGGCTCCAGTACGCTGCGCTGCGGCAGAGTTTGCTGGTGCTTGCGTTACAGGGCGCACCGTCTTTGCAGATTTAGAGGGCAAGCTCGGTTTCTTGAATGGAGACCTGTTGTCCGATGTCTCTTTGGCAGCTTCCGAATACTTGGCTAGCAGTTCGCCCAAGTTTTGTTTACGAAGCGCCACGGGGATTCGATTAATACGCCGTTCAATTCTCGCTCGTAAATCTTGCGCCTGGAGGGCGTAGTGTGCGCGTAGTTTTCGCGCTCGCTCAGTAACTAGAAGCCGCGGTTAGCTATACACTGGGCCAACACTGGTTCATGCCATGGGAATCCCACTTTCTAGCTGCAGGTTGTCCATCAGGGCCTGTTTCTGCTTCTGGGTGATCCTGAGCCTCTTCTTCGATGGGCTCCTCGTGGGAGTAAGGGCTTCATCATAATGGTTGCTTGGCTCATGCGACTTTCGTTTTCTCGAGACGGCGGTCGACATTGTAGCGGTAAGGTCCTGGACTGACTATAATCAGAGCAGTGTTGCTATCCCTCTTTCAATTGTGTGTAGCGTCTAGTTATCTCAATACTCAAAGCTCGTCGTGGCGTGAGTTGCTGTCCAACTGTCGATGTTGATATTGAAATAAACAGGAAAAGGCGAGCCGTCGCGATGTAAACAAATGCGATTACATAAACATTACTGCGCTAGTCCCGATTGAGAGCTCCGCAGCAACCTTGAAGCTTCACTTCCTTCGCTTCAGCAACGACAACGACGCCGACGCCAGCAAGCCTTTCTCTGCTACGACTAGCTATACACATATACACGCCATCTCTTGTCTCTCTTAACACTCCGTGAAGCTCCTCTCTTGCCTCTATTTTTCGCTATAAAAGCTAGATACATCTCTCACAGCCGCCGCCATGTCGCTCGAAGCCACTATGATCATGTTCGTCTCCCCCGGTTCGGTGTTTATGGACGGTATCATGCTAACGAAGTATGAAACAGTATCGATAATAGTGAAAGCAGCAGAAATGGCGATTACCTGTATGTTACCATGGAACAGTGAAAACGCCTACAATCCATACCTACAGCTACTAACAGGACGATGACTAGCCCCACAAGATTCGAGGCTCAAGCAGATGCTGTGAACTTGGTTCACTCCGTAAAGACACAAGCTCACCCACAGTCGGCTGTTGGGCTGATGAGCATGGGTGGCAACGGCCCAGAGGTTCTGGTTACCCTGACTGAAGATATTGGCAAGATCCTAGAAGGTCTTCACCGGACGAAGATTGGCGGAACTTCACATCTGGCCTCCAGCATACAAGTTGCCTACGTAAGTGTATTTGAACTATAACGTGTTCATCATACACAAGTCAAGCTAACTGTTGCTGTTTGTGTCTGGGTGTAGCTAGCACTTAAACACCGAAAAGAAAAGGCTCAGAGACAGCGGATTATTGTCTTCTCCTGCTCCCCGGTTGTTGAAGACGAAAAGTCGTTTGTCAAGCTAGCGTTGAAGATGAAGAAGAACAATGTTAGCATTGACTTTATTGCTTTTGGCGAGCTTGATTCAGAGACAACGAAGAAACTAGAAGCCTTCCATGAGGCTGTCAACAGTGGAAACGGATCAAATCTTGTCATCATACCTCCCGGCCCTAACCTCCTCAGTGACTCGATTCTCCCAACCCCAATCCTTGGAGGACGCGGTATGGCGTCGCATATGGAGGGAGGAGAGGATGTTGGCGGCGGCTCATTTGACTTTGGAATTGACCCCTCTGCCGATCCTGAGCTGGCATTTGCTCTACGCATGTCTTTGGAGGAAGAAAAAGCAAGATTAGAGAAGGAGAAGCAGGAGAAGGAAAAACAGGCCAAGGAATCTATGGATAAGATACCGGAAGAGGGCGGGGAGGCCAGTGGCAGCGGAAGCGGGAAGAAAGATAATGATAAGAAAGAAGGTGACGGAGATAAGATGGATACGTCGTGACTGCATGTCGATTGAAGTAGCGTTATGATGGGAAGAGATATATGGGCAGCGTGGATTATTCTAGACTAGTGACGCTCGATGGCATTCCTGGCGTTCGTAGATCAATGTATTCTACTTGAGATTGGCCTCGGAAGTGACAGTACCCCCAGACATATACATGCCAGTACATACATATATCATCTGCAAAGCTCCATTATCAATATCCCTGGATTATTCATTAAGTCGTATCTTTTAATAAAAAGGAGATCCGTTGCGTAGAGTCTATGTTCACAGTCCTCCTCCGTCAAAACTTTAGATGCTATCTTCCCCTCAGCCACGTCGCTAGATGCCTGTCAAATGACTCGCATCTCACCGGCATCTCCAGCTGATAGAAGGGATTCTTCATCACGTAGTCTGCATACAGCTCGTATATCTTGGCAATCACACTGTCCACATTCGGCATAAGCGGATCAGTGAAGAGCAAGAACTTGGTCCCTGTCACAGTTTGAAAACACGTCAATCTAAACCGTTCCGTCTCGAGGACTTCTAGGCCTGTCTTTGGAAGGCCGGGATTAGGTAGTGTGGAGGTCATGGGTATCGTGGATGCTGAGGTATTGGACGTAGCGGGGGCGGAGTAAGGGAACACAGGCGTAAGGGAGCGGGTGATGGCATGGACGCTGTTTATATCAGCAATCAGATCAATCGATACTGGTCAGCTTGGAAATCCGGATATTGGAGCATGCTGCTGCTGCTGCTGCTGCTGCTGTTGTTGGGGTAGGTCGTTTGCGTACCCATGAAAGGTGCCTGCGAAGACGAGATAGTCATTTGTCGAGAGCTTCTGGAGGCCAGCCTGAAAGTCCCGCTGGTAGATCAGGCCTCCAGCCTTGTTGATGATGACGAGGGAATAGACAACCCTGGTGCCAGCAGTTAGTCCATGCGGATGCGCCGCAGCTTCATCTGTTGAGCTGTCTGCATATGAAGGCCAACTCACATTGCGTTCAGTCTGCTCCCATTATGGTTACTGTTTCCCTGCTATAGCTCCGCCCAAGTATAATCGTCGATCCCGGGACTCTATCGCCCCTCCGTCAGCTGCTGTCTGCTCTTCGCGTCGTCTTGTCGGCTTTTGCTCTTGTTGCGAACAAGCGATTCTTCGTCTTTCTGACGGAGGAAGTTCGATATCGTAAGTATTGTAACGCCATTACACGATTACACGACGATTGGTGGAGAACGTGACACGTTATCGTATTGAATATTACACCATAAAATACCCCATAAACATTTCGACATCAATATATTATATTGACGGCGAGGTCTATTTGCATGATATTTCTTTGCACATCCCTCGATCGCCGGAGTATAATAGAGCTCTGCTAAGGCGAAGAGAGGGTGTTTAGTTTCTACAGAGTACGCTAGAGAGCCAGTGAGGAAGGCGTAGGGAGAGCGTTTCATGGGCAGGCAAAAGGGGCCACGACGATTGGCAGGGAGTGCTCCAAAAACCGAGTGACAGGAATGCCCAAGAGAAGTCGAGGCATCTCATGCATCTTTAACATCCGCACCAGGATAATCCCAGCAACTCTGGAGGGCGCATCACGGAGGAGCGTGAGGCTCAATTCGTGCATTGCGGCGCAGTCAGAGGCAAGACTTTCAGCCCTTGCAAGGAGCGGACGGCAGGCAAAAGGGAAGGTAGATAGGCTGCAGGCACGATTTATCATGCTTCTGCAGGTTTCCCCCCTCCCTTATGGAGAAGAAGAAGAAGAAGCAGCGGAAGCCTGGAAAGAGGAGAAGACATGGCTCTCTGGCCTCCCTCTTCCATCACATCATGCTGCATCTTGCATCTTGCATCGTATCAACATCGACCAGATTTCATGCAACCCGGGCCTTATCGATAAAGCAAACTTCCGCTAACATCGTGGAATATAGCTAAAGTATGGGGTCGCCGAGTTCATCTGGCGGGAAGCTTTCTCGTGATGGCTGCCGATGGTGATGTCGATGCTTGCTGTCGACCACAGCCCGTAGATTGTAACCATGGCAAGCAGCCAGACCGCGGAGAGGAACCCGGAGTAGACAGCCGTTTAATCAAATAGTATCTGTCATAATTGAACCAGACTCCCTTGTACACTAAACCTGAATGGGCGGGGACGCTAGTTAAGGATCCAAGCAAGCTGCGACTCCAAGGAGCAAAGCCGCTGTATGGATGTTTTTGTCTCCGCGTCTGCTTCATCTGCTCCTCCTGGTCCACCAGCTGGTCCCTTAGAAATCCTGATCGCCTGATGCTGCTGCTGCTGCCACTGCCGCAATAGAGCTAACGAGCTTGTATGTATCTACCTGTACCTGTACGAGAGCCGTGTTAGAGAGCAGTATCCAGCCCGTCAAGGGGAACGAACCGTGTATAAAACGCTGAGCTTCGTCCCTCTCGTCGGCTGCTGCGCGAGCCAGGCCGATACGCAGACTCCCTCGACTCTCGTGGCTCTTCGTATCCGTGGCCCTTTTGTCCCTTTTGCTCTGTTTGCTCTGCTCTCGCCTACAGTCTCGTTATCGCCTCCGTTTGTTTGTGGTGGTGGCCCTGATTTGTGCGAGCAGGCTGAAGCTGAACTTTTTCCCTTTTTGCCTGCAGTTTCCTCCGGCGCCTTAACAGCAACAACAGCTCCAGGCCAACCTCATCTTAGCTGGGCTTGTCCTCTCACCCCAGAACAGCGTCTTCTCGGCTCTGCTCCTGGTCCTATATGATAGCTTTCCCTGTCATAAGCCTGTAATGATCTCTGGAGGAGCTTGGATGTTTCATCAGACCTGCTGAGTTGGCAAATCTGGTAATTCATATAAAGAGGAGCAGACAGAGAGAAAAAGAGACACAACACGCTACAGCTTGATAGTCGCCAGCGATTTGAGCAACCATGTCGAACCAGGCGCTTCTTCGTATCGGAAGGGTAAGTCTCTCTACCTTGGTAGCCTGGGAGGCCCAGGACGAGACGAGTCGCTGATGTTTCGGCGAAATATATAGGAGATCAGTCAGATCCAGCAGGGAGCTGACCTCTGTAAGTCAAGGACCCCAAGGTCTTCTAAGGGCCCCCTTTTTCCCTTTGCCAGTTACTCATGGGGTTTCTATCTTAGCACTTGCCGTGGCTTGCCAGGAAGCAGACATTCGCAACGTCAAGGCTCTCATAGTTGGGCCGCCTGGAACTCCCTATGAATTTGGCTTCTTCGAGGTATGCTTGTAGTCATTTCTTCCAGGAATATGGTTCTTGCTAACCGCGTTCAACAGTTCTCTATCAAGTTTACTGAAGGTCAGGATGCTTGCCAAATATACCCATGAGACGCCTAATGCAAGCAGATGCTCATATTCCATAATTTAACCAGACTATCCTGCCCAACCTCCACATGTTCAGGCTATGACTACCAACGGCGGAAGATGCCGTTTCAACCCCAATATTTATGCCTCAGGCAAGGTTTGCGTGTAAGTTCTGATACTGCAAGTCAAATTAGGTGGATAATTTCTGACACACTACTTTGACATAGGTCTATTCTAGGGTAAGTTTTAATCGATTCTCGTATAAAGGAGTATATGTATATTAACAATGTTTTCAGGACATGGGAGGGAAGTAGTGGGGAGCAGTGGTCATCAGCTCAGGGCCTAGAGTCCATCTTGATCTCCATTCAGAGCTTGATGTCTGCAAACCCATATGAAAACGAACCCGGATTCGAAAACTCCAAATCTCCCACTGATCTCAAAGCAATGGATAATTATATTGCCAAGGTTATACCACTCTTTTAATCATATCTGTTACTCCATGATTCTGACAGCCTCCAGATCCGACATGAGAATATCAGAATATCGGTGATTCAGCGCCTGGAGGATTGGCTTGGCATCCTGCCTGATGGTACAATTATGCCGCCCACTGATGAAATTACAGAGGACGAGGAAATGTTTGAGGATGAATATTCCCAGCCCCCGTTTGAGCCGTTTAAAGATCTATGCAAACGTCGCTTTCTCTGGTACTATGAGACTTATAAGAACACAATGGCTGAGGCTGAGACAAAGTGCCCTGTTGGCTCACGCTTCCAGAGAATGCAGTTCGAATTCACCGGCAATACAATGGACGGACATTTCAACTATACCGAGCTGACCAAAAGACTAGATGCAATCAAGAACGCCATCATGAAAGAAACAGATTCTTGGGCAGAGATGGGTCGGAAAGCTATAAAGAACGAAACAAGAATTGCCGTCAACCTGCAACGGCAGTATGAACAAATTGTCGAGGACCTAAAAAATAAACGACATTTCACTATCGATATATCCCTTGATGAGGGAAATCCTCTTGTCTGGATGTTGACTTACTTTGGGCGGCCCATGACCCATCTTGATGGTGGTATCTTTAGAATTAAGATCGCCCTCAGTCCTAATTTCCCAGATGAGCAGCCTCGGGTGATTGTTCAAACCCCTCTATTCCACCATCGTATCTCAAAAGATGGCATTCTCTGCTATTTCCCGAAGAAACTGGAGGATATGAAGGCACACGTTGAAGCCATTGTTGAGGCATTAGAGGATGAGTCTCCACCTTATGACCCGCGAGCAACTGTCAACCCTGAATGCTCCAAGCTCTTCTGGGGCTCCGCAGAAGACAAGAAAAAATACAATCGCATGCTAAGACGCTCGGTCCAGCGCAGCATAGAGTGAGTCTCCCTCTTCTCGATTCCCCAACATGTAGCCAAAACTAAATTACTGCATAGTGAATGATTTTTATACATTTACTGCACTCTAAACCCCTTTTAATATGGCCCTCGATACCCCGGCGGCCTCACTTTCGGTTCTTTAGGCCAAGGTTACTTTTGCTAAATATCCTTCGTGACCTCAACAACATTGTCATCCGGCTGTGTTAATGGCGTTCTTTCGGCGTCTGTCTTTCTTTTCTTTTTCTCTTACCCACCTGGTTTATTTCTGAGATTGCCAACTTAACTACTTGTGATAAATCTATTACCACTCACAGTTACATATTACATTCTCAGACTACTGAAAACGAGGTTCTGATAAGTTTTAATCTCTTACTTTGACCTTCATCTTTCTTTCCCTAATCCATTGACAGTGCTCAAAAATGTCGAGTGAAGATCCAAATATATGCCTGGAACCGTGAGAGCAAGAGCCAACCAACACCTTTAATTTAATAGAATAAGGATCAAAATAAACCTAACAAAATATATGGAAAAGAAACAACGAAGCCCAAAACAAATAAACAAACTATAATCAACGAAGCTCATATGACCCCGCGGCTTTCCATCTATACATCAACTATCCCCCTCTTTCGCCCCCTAATCTTCATCCGCATGTACCATTGCCTCATCCTGCAGGGCCCCCGTACGTTAGTAGGCAATTGAGAGATCAGTTCTCTAATTTACCATTTTGCAGCGCAAGAGCTAAGAGTACAGGGCCGCATACTTCCATGTGATGCTGCTTCGTGATGTCCCATGTAAATAGCTCGTTCATTGTCATTAACGGGATTTCCGATCCACTGGGTGGCTTGTTATTTAAGTAATCGATGTATTCTTGGTCATAAGTTGCAATGATAAGTCTTATTTGTTCCCGTTCTTGAATTATCATAGGTCGACTAAGTAGTCATAAATGTTACGTTAGCCATGTAATCACTGGTGTTAAATAGGCATCGCTTACCGGTACTGCTTTTTGGCGCCTGGTGCATCTGGCTCCTGATATATCCAAGATACCATCTGGGAAGTTGCCTGGTAAATGACCCTGTTGTTGTATCGTCTGTTGGTGGGTTTAACTTCCACAATAACCGCAGATGGTTTTGCATCATTGGGCCCTGGATTTCGCGAAGCGAGATGTCCGTCTGTTCTAGCTTCGAAGAGATATGGCCTATCCCCGCTGTTTGGTTCTACATCTCTCTTCCCAAATCGAAATGACTTTCGAACTGGTGACCAGTGGAGACTAACATCGGGATGGTACATGCAAATGGAGGCTAGGAGCGCGATGAGATAGCCGTTGACGATTTGTTCATCCTCCACCTTTGGGAATGCTCTGCGCGCTGAGGCAGGACTCATAGTGGCATCACTGTTTGAAATATCTGATGGGCTTTTTCTGGAGTTTTTCATGAACCGTCATATTGCGGATACCCTCAGCTAACTCCTCCGAAGGAGAATATCCTCCATATCCCGTGATCTGATCAGGGGGTGTCTGGTATCCCTTTTTCCCCAATGGAGTTGGTGATTCCTCTCTGCCGTGCATGTTGGTCTTGTGGGCTGCAGATCGGAGTCGGCTGGATATTGGGCTATACGAAACATTTTTGTCCTGGTCTTCCACTTGTTCATATTGCTCCGGCAGGCTGATTACCTGGTGATGGGCAAACCAAACATATGAAAATGTTCCGAGACTGTGAGGGGGACCAGTGTAGTTGGTAATTTGCGAAAGGTTTTCGAGATATATCAACCAGTCCTTATTATTCTCGAGCCATTTGTCCGCTTGTTTGAACTCCTTAATTCCCCATTTCTCGAGGTCTTTTGTTTTGCTCTTAGGGTGTTGGAACCAGACACTTCGAAGAAGGAGGTATTGCGATATATTGACTTTTGATCCAGATTCGCAGGGCGTGGAATAGATATTGGCTTCTCCAAGTTTATTATCTTTCACCATTTTGGTCCATGTCGGCCTATCCACAGCAAACTTAACTATCTCACTTGCCATGGTATACTAACTCTCGGTTTGGGGCTGGGCGGAAGAGTGAGCCCACACAAGTGGTCGGCAGGTTTAATATTTGACACAGATCTGGTGAGAAGATCAATAGCTCAGAAAATATGGAAGGAGAAAGTTGGATAGTAAAATAAACGTCTCTTCCAAGCAATATACTGCTCTTTAAATATTATTCACTGGATATATTGCGTGTCTATTTTAAGGGACTTACGCGCCCTTATCCTTGACCAGGAACTCGTATGCGTTGCCCCATGACAGAGATGGGGAGGTCAGGTTTGGCTCTCATTGGAGAGCTAGGAGAGGGGCGCATAGCTCACTGCAAACCAACAGTGAATGTGCTTTGTTGTGGAGCATTGGTGGCATGGCGCTAATGGTCAATAACCATATAGCCAATTAGTGTAGTTCATTCGATTCAGATGTAAGCGCTCAACACCTGTAGAATGATATAAATAGAGAACTTGACAACTTCATGCATAGCAAGTTCCATTCTGGCCACTAAAATATATATTATTTGTTGGGAGTGGAGCAGGCGCTAAAGTATAATATTTCTAAGATACTATCCTAAACTTAGACCAGGCGTTGCAACACGTTTGCCTCAAGGTTTTGAGGCTCGGCGCTTAATTCGGCTTGGCATGATGAGTAAGCTGCCAACCAACCCAATGCGCCTTCCAATTTTGGGACAGTTTCCGGATTATCTATTATCCTGAGTCCCCACTACCCGATCTCAACAGTGCTGCCTGTTTACAACGCGTGCAAGTGTTTGCGAGCTTGCCATCAACAATATCGTTGTCGGATCAGAACATACAGCTTACAAGCGAACTGCCATGGAGAACCACACAGAGCTGAACGCTGAGATTCTAGACACGCTGCTTGGCCATAAGAACCAGGTCTCGACCAAACTCCATACCATCATCAAGGTCCTCAAACCGGCCCTCAATCAGGAACACATCTACTTACCGGAGGACAAATTGCTTAAATATAGTATACGCAAGGAGACGATGGATCTAGAGCAAGGTGGGCGATTTTTTAAGCCGATGTCACAATCGGTTTTTGAGAGTTTGCCTCGACTTGAAGAATACTATGAAGAGGATGAATGGGATCCGTCGGACTCTGCTTATGATGAAATACATGATGCAACCCATATTCAGCGTAAGCTGAAAGGCTTCATAGGAGGGGAAATCCCAAATACTCCAACGGACAAGTGGGGATGTCACCGGGTACTGGCTGACTATGCGGAATGGGATTTTGCATTGTGAGTGACTGATTATCCTTTTATTGTATTCAATATGGTTATTGATATTTTCCGTTTGCCCATTAGCCTTGAACGCACACTCTATGGCGGAAATTGGGGCAGCACGGGACCGGGACACGAACCGACCGACTGGCGTTATGAAGAAGCTTTCGATAGACATGTACGGGGTACTCATCTCCAACCCCATGTTATATCTCACTCACTCCATGGTTTATACCCTGATGAAGATGCAAACCTGAAGATTACCCGTAGTGAAATACTCCTTGCCGCCGACCTTATGAGGGAAAGATTGAAGTGCCCATTGTATGTTACCAATGATTTATACCCGGTATGGCACGCACTCGTACACTACCGTCTTCTTACATACAGCTCTAGGCTAACCAGTTACACTATAGATTCTGATGGTTTCTTGCTTCAACCGACAAGTTCGTATGAATGAAGTATACTTTGAAAACGGAACCCTTTGCTTCAACTGTACTCCGTTCGTTAACTTCGACACCTTTGAACGATCCAAACTCGACTTACTTGCTCGTTGGGCTTTGAGCACGCCTATAGGCGAAACTAGCAAATACCCAAACATCAAACCGATTGCAAAACTCCTAAACCGTTTTTTGAAAGAGAGAAATCGCAGAAATAAATACGTGCCCAAGCGTATTAAGGAGCTTAGGAGGAGTTGATACAGTCTCTTTATCTGAAACGGAGGTATTTCGAAGTCTGTGTAGCATATTGATTATTGTCTTAGATACCCCTGGCTGGATTTGTGAGTGACTACCTTTAAGGTCATGTTACGTCGTGCTCATTTATTATATCAACTGTATTTTACCTCTGAGCTAACCAACGCGATTTTGGAGCTTTATTTGCCAAGAGGAGTGGAGAAATACCGATGTAGCTATTGTAGCCCCAATTGAAAACCAACAGATAATTAGCGCAAGGTGTCTTTGATAGTGCGCTTTGGTTAGATCAGACACTTTGTTAAGCCATCTGAAATGTTTGGGATATGCGTTTAGCAAGTTCCAGATAGCTCTACGTTTTGCAACCTCCTTTTTCGATACGAATAAGTAAATGTCATTTGTTGTGAATATACTTATACTAACTTGTCTTCTTTTGCATTTTTACAGTCTTGTGTCTTAACAATCAATTGGGTAATGTCGTTTAACCATTCGAGAATAACACTCCCTATTTTAATAATATTCCAACCATCAATCTGAACTATATTAGGTATTTACCCTTGATTTATATGCACGCTGGGCTTTGAGCAAAGCCCCAAGTTAAAGGCCAAGCCGTCCATAGAAACAATCATCAATTAAATTAAAGAGAAGGGCCATGGGAAAAGAAGTGAAAAGTCTCCTAGAGGCACTGGGAATGTCTCTACTTACGCATGCTAGGGGACATAGGGCTTAATCGAAATAGCCTCCTTCTGGAATAACTATATATTGATTAGGTTTTTATCAAAGACTTGGGATGTGTACTCTGGTGTTGTGTTTTTGGTAGTTACCCTTAAACTGGTTATATGATACGAAAGTGCTTGGTGCGTGATAATCAACAACCACGTCCAAGGAATAACCCCTCGTCTAAATAGAGTAAATTTTATATGGCAACAGAGTAAATTTTATATTTATCCAATATATAGCACTTAAATTATTACTCGATAGAAATAAGAAATGCCTAAACAAAGTCAAAATGAAGTATAAATAAACGAAGCAACGATAAGCATATATCTGGTGAATTTAGTGCGGATGCTAGATATAAATTCTAGATCGCTGCTGTCATGCTGCGTTGCCAAATGCTAATTCGAGGTATAATGTGCTGAAAATGACGGTCATTTTCTCGAAGTAGTATTGAAAGATCACAGACACGAAGCAGCTCGTACTCGGCCGGTAATTTCTTACCATTAGAGGAGCTGTGTGTGTGTGACTCTGACAATGTTGGGCTATTCAAAATTTCATCTGAAAGAAGTACTAATCCTCCGGGCCGGACTATGGAATGTGGTCCTGCCATACGCTCTATGAAAGCATCTGGGTCAGACAAGGGGCTTGGTGAAGCGTCAGCCAACAACACCGCATCGAAGCCGGTAAGCTCGGATGGAAGAGAACAAACGTCGGCTGTCTGGAAAGTGACTCTCTCAGGGTGTGCCGCTGTATCAAGTCGAGCACACAAGTTTGTCATACGCCCACCATTGTCACGTCGCTCATACATCCTGCTTCCTGACCGGGCCATGGTATTTGCTGCGGTAATGAAGGCTTGGTTCGGGTCAACTCCAACCACAGTGTTGAAGTACTTGCTTAGCCCAAACGTTGTACCGCCAACAGCGCATCTTACATCAAGCGCAGACTGAAGTTGTAGGCCTTGGGCGCGAGCTGTATCCACGAGGAGCTCAACTACACGGTGCACATAGTTATGGCATAGGCTGAGTCCGGCGGTGTCTAACACTGCAGGACCAAGTGTCTCAGCCATAGAGCCATAATGCAAGAGCATGCGTTGGTTCAGCTCGCGGCGGGTATTGGCATCAACGTCAACTTCAGCGACAGCTTCATCTTGCTTGATGGCTTTTGGCTTTTCAATCTTGCTTCCTGCAGAGAGAGCAAGTCTGATACCAGAGTGCTGTAGGAAGTGAGGTCTAAAAGGGATCCTACCCCAGATACTGGCCTCATCGCCCGTAGCAGCAAAAGCACCACCAAGAAGAAGTTGATGCTCACCCCCATAAAAGGGGGTGCTGAAATCCTCGTAGTAAGGGTGAACGGCAAATCCAGGCAGTGGGGCAAAGGCGTCTTCGCACCACTGCCAGACGTTACCAAAGACATCTCCGAACCCCATTGCTGTGGGCGGGGAGGCATCCGTTGGAGTCTCAGATCCAAAGGCCAGATTAAGATTGACGCCCTTTTGTGCAAGTGCGTGACCGTCCATGCACATAACAGGGTCGTCCTGAGGACCTGGTTTCTCTGGCAAGGGGTCTCGCATGCGGTGATGCTCGACTTCAGAGATGAGCCTGTATGATCGGCCACTGCGCTTGCTACGCCAGGTGCAGTATGCTTTGGCTTCATGGTAGTTGACACAGACTGGCCAGTCCCAGGGCATCGTCACTTCATCAAAGATCGTGCGCAGGCGATAAGTGTGGAGCCCGGCCGGGCCGTCCCGAACCCAAAAGCGCGGGTGTTTAGTGTTATTCAGACGTCGCTGTCCCCATCCACTCTCGGACCAGTACAGCTGCTCGCGGTAGCCACCATCGGCAACAAAGTCGTAGAACTCTCCGTTACTAATCAGGTATCTGCTTGCTTCGAAGGCGCTCACCTCGACACGCTTATGGCCGTACTCGTTGTCCCATCCAAATGAAGGGAAATCGTTTGGCTTCCCCATAACAACCTTACCAGCGGGAACGCTGACCATGTCGTTATCTGGCACCAACCTCTCCTCCTGAGAAGTACGGGCAGAAGTCGATGGTGCAGGCCAAGCTGGATGTCGAGAGAGCAGATCGACAGGAGACTCTCGAATGAGCACTGAACTAGTATCCAGGTGGATTCCATCGTGTTCAAGAGCGAGGACAATCGCCCAGGCTTTGTCATTCATATTGACGGGCCGCCCCATTTCAGCACCAAACTCAGTGTTGGCGATAACATCACTGACGACGGTGTACACCTTGGCCCTGTAGGCGTGTACTTCATCGAGCTCCGGCCACTCGGTCTCATCGGTCGACAGGTCATCCCAGGAGTTCTCGTCCACGCCAACCTCTAGCAGGGCTTCGAAGTGAGTGTTGACGGGGCTGTCGACCAGCCCAGCAACCCTTAGCTTGTTGATGTATACGGCGGCGGTATGACCGTAGTAGAAGATGAGCGGATGGCGCAACTTATGGTCCGGCTGGCGATAGAAGGCTGACCTCGTACGCAGGCCGGCGAACAGCGTTTCATATAAAGTCCATGTATTATCAAAATACTGCTGCATCTCCGCCCGGCCAGTTGTCGCCAAGTTGGGCAGCGGGAGTTTTGAGATTACTCCAGCCTCATTTACTCCGGGACAGACCCCTGGCTGTGGCGCCTTTCCGGTGAACCATCTGTCCTCACCAAACAGGCTGTGTGGCGCCGTCTTCGCGTTTATCGATGTATGACGCTCCCATTTGGCCTTCGCCACAGCTTCGGCGCTGTTATCAACGGTCAAATCGGCCACTGGTGGCATCTTTCGAGGTGTTACGCCGATTTCTTCTTTGTCCCCCTTCTTGGACAATGGAAGAGCCGAAATTATTTTCAAAAGGAATTGTATATGACGATATTTGAAGAGAATATGGCGAAATCTAGGAGGTACTTGATTTTCTCTCTACCAACTAGTGGACTGTTAGCTATCGGGTTATCTATAGAGTAGTCTAATTCTTTTATAGCCGGCCTGATACTGATATGTTCCACCCGGCTCTCCTAGAGGTACTACGGATAGCTTCATCCCCTTGACCTTGGCGGTTCGAATACCAACCATCACGGCCCTAGCTATTTCGTGGTGTTCATAACTGAACTACGTATGAAACCTGCTGGAGTGACAAATGGAGCCACAAAAGCCAGTTGGGGAAGCAGATTCACTTCCGCCGATTGGGTTGATTAGAATTCAGACTGCCAGGGGGGGCGTTGCATGTGTCTGCTACCCGTCGCTTTGCGTTTTCGAGACGTTGGTGGCTGGCTGAGGGCATCCTGTTCGTCAGCGTGGAGGCATTGTTGTCTTGCTAACTCTGCAAAGCGTTCTCCATCTGACTGCATGCCATTTTGATATCAGTACTGATCGGGTAATAAGTTCAACAATGGCTGGCTGATATACATTTAACGACTTAACTACCGAGATCATCGGTACTCCGTACTGTCAGAGTTCATGCGTTTTCTCGAGTGTTTTAGAGGGTTGCAGAAACTATCTTCTCTTTCCTGCAATATCCTCCCTGTTCCACAAGGATCAAATAACGGACTGACCCTTTGCTGCAGCGGTTTGTTAACTATACATAGCATGACAGCACGGTGCACCTTTGAAGACGGTTACATAGCTATTGCTGCTGGCTCCGAAGAAACGACGCTTGTGCCGAGGAGACGAGAATATGTGCACTCTGGAAAGATTCCGAAATCCAGAGATAATGAGAGATGAAGCGCTGTCACTGCAGGGATACTCCTCCAATCTCCCACTCATATGCTTTTGCCCAGGCATGCAGTAACAGCAACTATAGTTAAACCCCCACTCTCAAGCACACTGGCTGAGATATTCTCCAGACTTACCCTAGCAAGAAGGGGTGCAGACGCCCGCGTTGGAACCCCTCACCCTTGCATTCAGATATATCGTGTCTTTCGCCTTATCTCGCACTCTGACACTATATATTGAAAAGGTTCAATCTTACATATGTATAGCAAACACTGCATCACTCTACAGCAGACACACAGCTACCATCGATACCATCGTCACTTTGATCTGCCGTCACTCCCGTGCAGCCCGTACTCGATAGGCTAGCTTGCACCATGGCTCCCCACGCGAATAGAGCCAAGGTTGATGATGCCAAAGCCAACTCAATGGCTGGTACTGAAGGGTCGAACGCTCTCCACGCTCTCCTTACACTTTACCCCAGCATCTGCTTCCTGCGCTGCCAGTGGCAGGATTATTCGGGTGTTGTGCGAGCCCGCATTGTCCCCATGGAGCAAGCACAAGCCATCGCAGCTGAAAAGAGGAGACTACATGTTCCGGCTTGTGCGTTCCATCTGACCGTGAGCCACGAGAACATCCCCGAGATGGACCCAAGAGGATATCACTGGTTGATCCCAGACTGGGACTCCCTGTATCCCGCATCTCAGCAACTGGGGGTGGACCCTAGTTACGCCAGCGTAATGTGTGGTGTCGTTGAGCATCTTCCCATCAGACCGGAATTGAACTGGAACTACTGCCCCCGCAAGGCTTTGAAGACCGTCGTTGAGAAGGCCGAGAAGCTACTCCACGTGCATTTCCTCGTCGACTTTGAGGTGGAGTTCCAAGTTATGAAAGCTGCAGCCGACGGCAAAATAGGCCCTCATAGTTCCGGACTAGGCCGTTGCGCTATTTCCGGCCTCCGTGACCCTTGTGTGGCCCATATTCAGGAAGTTGTACACATTTTGATCAAGGCTGGGGTTGGCGTTGGTGCCTTTCAGACAGAAGGGGACCGTGGACAGTACGAGATTGCTCTCGAACCTCAGTCTCCCCTTCGAGCTATCGATGAGCTTATCTTTGTCCACGATACTCTGAAGTCTGTTTTTGCTCGTCATGGCTTAATAGCAACAATGGCACCCCGGCCAGTGGCGTCGCACAAACAAGTCGCGGGACAACACACCCATATCTCGCTCAACCCCCCAAACAAGGAGACTTCATTTTTGGCCGGTATCCTCCGCAGACTCCCTGGACTCTGTGCATTCTTTCTGCCGTATGACCTATCATATGAGCGTGTCCAGCCATACCTCGCCGGCCATATTGTTGCATGGGGATCTGAGAACCGAGCAGTACCTGTCCGCCAGATAAAGTCTGGTCACTGGGAGCTGCGATGCGTTGATGCTACAGCCAACATGTATGTCGCTTTAGCTGCAGTCATTAGTGCCGGTACAATAGGGTGCATCAACGAGGAGCCGTTGGTATGGCCGGATACTGGACTTATCACCGAACATTTTCCAACAAGCGGAGTCGAACCCTTTCCCAAGAGCGTAGCCGGGTCATTAGAGCAACTAGAAAAGTGTTGCGACAGCCTCCAGGAGTTCATGGAAAGTCGGATTCTTCGGCACTATATTGCAGTCAAAAGATATGAAGCACCCAGACTACAAACCTTGCCCGAAGAAACCGTCCGGCAATTGCTATGCGAGATCTTTTAGCGGATTCTTCAATCACGGAAGATACGTCCACAAAACTACTTGTTTCCAGACCCGTGGGGTACTTGGGTGCATAGATTTAGCCAAATGTTTGAAATGAATGAAGTAAAATAAAAACCTTATCTTGGTCTTGACGTATACACCGATAATATCGCGAAATGGCGATATGGTGGCCCATGTTCAAGGTACATCAAGAGGGGAAACGAGAGGGGCCAGGATGTAGAATTCCAAACCGGACCGGTCAGAAAGAAAACTTGTCCGACAGATCTACGCAACCGGGTAGTGTCAGCATAGTTGTTTATGCAGCTGGAGATCGCATAAGCAAGAGCCCATTCAAGCGACTCTTCGACATTTGGCAAGGATGCAAGCCGCAACTATCCATGCCTCACTTTTTCAATGGTGTTCCGTCAGACGTTGGAGTTGACTGAAATTTGCGCTGACAGTTCATTTTATAATTCACACGCATTGAGGTCGAAAAAATGATCTTCACTGCTCCTCCCATAGCTCAGTGGGTTATCAGAATTGAGAAAAACACTATGCCATGCATATCTAAATGCATTGTCCTCACTAGATCTGGTGTGTCTAGATTTGAGAGAAATCATATGCAAGATGCTCTTGTCGTTGAAGTGCCAATTCCCATATGTGATGACAGATATTTTCCGTTGTCAACACATAATTAGAGTGTGATACCAAGATTAGAATGTGGGGCCGGGTATTTGGACAGTGATGAGGAGCAGATCAGATAAGTTTTGGCTTCTTCGAGGCAATGAATGCAGTGGCATGCTTTTCAGGCCTATGGGCAACCAAGGGGTAGGAAGGGAATCCATGCAAAGCCACGTAGCTCGACCGGAATGAAGAGGCATTCGAAGGTAGATTTATAAGACGACTTTTCAACTTCCTTTTCGTATGTACGTACCTTGCTTCAAACTGGTCTTAATGTGTCCTTTCTAACAGACCACCACCCATCCATCCATCTTTGAAATGAAGCCCACCGGTTCTGCCCAATGTGAGGTCATCATTGATGACTCTCGTTTGGAGGATGTCTCCCTTCATCCATTCCTAGTCTCTACCTCTCGAGGCTTTTTACCCTTGAGAAACCCGCTGGTTACTCTGCCAAAGGAATTCAACGCCTTGGAATCGCTGCTGCAGCGTATGCCAATAAAGACTGCCTTGGGCAAACCGGGTCTCCTAGCAGATGGCAAGCTTGGTGATGTGGTTGATAAAGAGTTACCTGATCTCACTGCTCAAGTAGATCTATACAGGGATAATCTTCATGTAATAACTGCCTTGTATCGAGATTACTCCTTTCTCGCTGAGGGCTACCTCCTAGAGCCATGCCATAAATGTTTTATGGAAAGTAGTGAATACGGGATTGGGCGGCCCTTTTTGCCCAAACAGATCTCGCAGCCATTTGTTAGATGTGCAGAAATGTGAGTTCAGTTCCCACCGTCTCCAGCTGGGCAAGTAGCAATGGGAGCTAACAGAAACAAGAGCTGGCTTCAAGCCGTATCTCGAGTTCAGCTCATACGTACTGCTCAATTACCGCTTAGAGAACCCCGCAGCCGGCCTTGAGTTCTCCAACCTGCGCCTCATCCGAGCTTTCGAGCATGGCCTTGATCCGGCGTCATCTGAATCAGGATTTATCCTGGTGCATCTAACTATGGTGAAACACTCAGGCCCCCTTGTCCAAGGCGTCCTGAAGGCTTTTGAAGCTGCATCACACGGAACCACTTGCGGCGGTACCATCGAACAGAGGAAGCTGCTCAATGAAGGCCTCTCAACACTTGTTGATGCCTTGGCAAAGTTGAACTCCCTTATGAAGATAATATACCAGAAGTCAAAACCAGCGGAGTACAACAATTTTAGGACCTTCATGTTTGGAATCACTTCTAACTCCATGTTTCCCGACGGGGTCGTATATGAGGGCTGCAATGACAACAAGCCCATGTTCTTCCGTGGAGAGACCGGTGCTAACGATGCAATGGTGCCACTCATGGACTACTTCCTTCAGATACCCATGCCTGATACACCTCTTACAGTGATTCTCGATGAGTTCTCGGAATACCGTTCTGACAAACACAAGGATTTTCTCAATTTCGTGAAACAGCGTGGACGAGAATTGGATATCAAAGGATTTGCCCTCAATGGAGCCGGTACTGCCGGATCCGAGGATGTTAGAGATGCTCTCCGTGAATCTAGGGGACTATGGCTCCAGATCCTTGATCAGGTGCGTGAGTTCCGTTGGCGTCACTGGAACTTGGTCAAGGAGTATATCCTTAAGCGATCCGATCATCCTACCGCAACAGGAGGTAGCCCAATCGTAACCTGGCTGCCAAACCAGCTGGAAGCAGTCCTTGATTGCATGATCCAGGTGTACGCGACAGCGTTGGAAGCAGACAATAGAGGCCTCGGGAGAACTTGTGACGGCATCATGGAAGTTGCTTTAAGACAAAAAGAAACACTGAAAAAAGAAGTCGAGAAATACTGTGCCGAGCGTGGCTGACACACCAAGGAAGCGATGTTTAACCGCATCTAACTATTTCTTGGACTAAGTATAATAAAATGCTATGGTAGCCGATAGGTGCGCAACCAAATTTATATAAAGATACAGAAGGAACTTAAATAAAACAAAATATGTCGAGATCTGCCATTTGTTGCGGTCATAGGGAAGCAATATTAGCTAATGGCTTATTTAACTCTTAGCATTGACCATTTCAACCGGGTCATGTGATTCAGTTATTAGGTTCTTATTGTGGAAAGAGGCTTCGTCCATGGACTCCAAGTTCCTGCGGTAAGGACAGTATTCTACCTTCCTCTTGCCATCTATTCGTTACTGTGAGTTATTGAGAGTCGAGCACCCTTAATAATACAATACCGAGGGCGAATCAAATTGACAAGATATCACGGGACCCTGATAATTCGTTTGCTCAAACCGGTTAGCTTCCCTCGGGCCCAACCTTACCTAGTCAATCAATCACGTGCCTAGATGCTTTCCATTGGGACTCTTGACATCCAACATCATCGTTCTATTTCATGATTCATTTAGCAACCACCATTCAGACAAAATGAAGCCACCTTGGCGCTTACCTTGCTTTACTAAAACCCACCGCTCAGCTAGAAAACCTCAATTTACCAGATGCCATTCTTCTGATTCGAGAGCTATGCACACCATACCACGGCAATCCCAAGGTACGCACGCGGGATCTTGTCCAAGCAGGGAGAACACGAGATAACTTATCGTGAGGAATCAGATTGGAATTTACATGATGAGTTCTTCCAATTTACCCGAGGATGCTTTGTCATTGATGAAAAGGAACAGCTTTCCAAACGGCACGTTCGGTTCAACATGGACGAATTGGCACAAGAAGCTGCGAAAGCAGTTGATGCAAAGTATTGTATTAAAGTCGAAAAGTGCGCCGATGGAATGTTCAACAAGGCGTATATATTCACTCATGACAACGACAAACAAGTCATTGGGAAAGTTCCAAACCCGAATGCCGGTATACCTCACTATACCACTGCTAGTGAGGTAGCAACACTTGACTTTGTGAGATATGCCAATCCTTTTTTTTCTCACAGCTGCCATTGTTACCTCTTTTTTTTTTTCTTTTTTCTTCTCCCATGACATTCTATTACTAACTTTCACTAGATGCGTAATGTTCTGAAGACGCCTGCCCCGAAAGTGTATTCCTGGAATTCTCGAAAAAGATAAGGGAAACAATGTAGGGGCTGAATACATCATCATGGAAAAGTTTGATGGGGTCCAGCTAGGAAAGGTGTGGCCTTCCCTAGATCCATCAGATAAGATGAAGATATTTCTGCAAATATTCGACTACCAGAGAGTATGGACTCAGAAGAAATTCAATGCATTTGGGAGCCTCTATTATCGCGATGACTTGGGGGAATCAATTCGTAGGCCACTGGCTGACGAAGAAGGCACTCAAATCAATGAGCTTGACCGATTTGCTATAGGGCCAGCCACAGGACGTGAGTGGTCTGATGATGGCCGAAGTTCATTAACTTGCGACCGAGGTCCACGTGAGTGTTTCGTTCTCCCAGACGACGCTAAATTGGTCTTTATAATAATTATTTCTTGTAATCAAGGGAAATCATTACTTGAATATCGGATAGCAGTTGGACACCGAGAAAAACTAGCTATTGAATCTAGGATATGTGCTCCGAAACAACTAGCCATGCTCTATGGACCAGGACTCTACCAGCCTACTCAAGAAAAGAGACTTGACGCAGTTCAATCTTACCTCAAGCTTGTTAGCATTCTTCTTCCCTCTGACCCATCTTTGGCTAGCGGCCACATATGGCATGATGATCTGCATAGCGAGAATATTTTTGTCAGCCCGAAGAATCCTACCGAGGTAGTCGGGATTATTGATTGGCAATCAACTCAGATATCACCATTATTTGACCATTGCATGGACCCTGCATTCCTTGAGTATGATGGTAGTCCCATTGGAGATAGTTTGAAGCTCCCTGAGCTACCAGAGAATATGAAACAACTATCCGAAAGTGAGAAAAATGACACCATCAAGCAATACCTAAATAAGTCTGTCATGGTAGCCTGGCGTATGCTTGTCAAGAACAAAATCCCTAGCCAGTATGCTGCCATGATGTTTGAGAATACAACAAAAGGATACCTGCTTCTTCTTTCTCGTCGTCTCTATGAACTGGGAGAGCTTCAATTCCGGGCTTTGTCACTAGACCTGCAGAAAGAATGGTTGGAGTCCAACACCAACGAGGAACAAAAATTTCCACTCTCCTTTTCACCGGAGCAGGAAATTGAAATTAACGCAGATAGAGAATTATCTGCGTTAAGCTCGGAGGTCATGAAGAGTATACAACAACGACTTGGGCGTATTTGGCCTGACAAAGCTCTGGCCGAACACGATGATTATCAGCAGCTGAAGTCATTACTTGCCCAGATAAAAGAGGAGTTGGCATCCGAGCTCGTGAAAGCCCCCAAAAAAAAGGCAGAATTCGAAAAATTTTGGCCTTTCGACTGATGCCTCTCTGGGCCCTTTAGGCCATGATCGTTTTGTTATATGACTAACTCTTCTTGGATAGTTGTAATGAGAGAACAATGTACGATAGAGCAAAATAATAAGTTTGAATATTGATTAAGGAGTCGTTTTGAAACGTTATGTGCTACCCCCCGATTCAGTCCGCCGTACCTTACTGTATTACCCCAGTCCCCAATACATATATACTCTATAGCTGCTTCTTCGCCTCGATATTTTTGTTTTGCTCCAGCATAAAGCCAACAGATCTTGCAACACCCTCATCGAGAGGGACATAAGGAACGTATCCAAGCCTTCTCTTCGCCTTATCACATGAAAAGTATCTCGTCATGCAAGAGTATCTAACCTCCCGTCGTGTAAGTCGGGGTTTTTTACCAAATAGTCCAAACACCGTTTCTAGTATGCCCCCTATCACGGTAAGAGCTCCTTCTGGAAGGACCCAAGCCTGTTCAGGTTCGACATAACGATCCATCAACGCCCATATGGAACGGGCCATGTCCCAGAAATACACCGGGCTGTCATTGGTAATGTTGAATGCTTCGCCATCGACACGCTCATGGTCAAGGGGAAGCACTGCTTTTGTCTCAATCCGTTTCATGGTGGCAAGGAGTAGCTCGGCAGCAAGCATGTGCGCATAGGCAATGTTGCCGACATAAGTAAAATCAAATAGATTATCATTGTCGCCGAGCTGGAAGGATAGGACGAGAGGCGACGCCTTGGAGCCGTGCTCAACCAACTTCTTCGTAAGAGTTGTGTCACGCTCGCCGTGAATACCGGCAGGTCGGATAGCAACTGTTAGCATGCCGGAGGGGGAGGTACCATTATACTTTAGGACGAAATCTTCCGCAAGTGCCTGATAATCAATGTTAATTAAAGTAGTTGTCAGGTAGCGCAAATGATCCATACCTTTGTTTCAGTGTAATATTCTTGCTGGAGCTTGCCAACGATTTTGGGCCATCTCTCATCGACATTAACCAAGTCACCCTGGGTGTCGTGAACCACCGATGAAGAGCTAGTATAGACAAAAGCTTTGCATTTTCCACCCCAGTCTCCTTTGGCGCCGCCTGCGACCTCTACCAAGTTCTTTGTACCATTGACATTGACATTATACAACATCTCCCTTTCCCCCTCCAGGGGCGGTGGAGAGACAGTATCAATGATAACATCTGGTTTCACTATCCTAAACACTTTTAACAATTGCTCTGTGTTTAGAATATCTGCATCATAATAGTCCGCTCCAGGAAATCGGTTATGTGTTGTTCGGAGGTCGAGAACGGACACTTTAGTGTTCTTGTATGACGGGTATCGGTCGCGAAGACGAGGGTGCGCAAATCGGGGGTCAGGCTTCCCGCTCGCATCAATGACTCTGGAAACTGGGTGGGTGGGTAGTGAGTCTTCGGATGGGAAGTTGAGTAGCTGGTCAACAACGTGAGCGCCTACAAAACCGCAGCCGCCTACAACTAGGACATTTCCTAGCTCGATAACACGGGATTGAGCCATTTAGCTGTCTTCTAGAAGAGCAATTCCAGAGACTAAGACGGTATATAGGGATTATGCTGCGCCAATTTGTGAGAACGGAGAAGAGCAGCTATTTGTATCTTCATCAAGGCTGCAAAAACGAATCGTGACGTTGTCCAAAGTTTGAATTTCTCCTTAACTGATTGATGGCTCGAGCTTCAAGTCTCGATCGGGACTAGCGCGGTGCAAGTCAGCCGCTCCTCACGTGATGGAATTAAGCGCCAAAACATGAACTCTAAGTTCCCCCTACGAAACTGCCAACCTGTCAAGTGTTGATCGCATTCCCGATTCCTACACATATCATATACCCTCGGCGTTCATTGGTAGATGAGCTGTCACTTAAGAAGGTGCTGATGAAAATGGAATGCTTATTGTATTGAAGTACAGATTTCTATATTTTCAATTAATCAAGGCATTCAAGCGTGAAACTGTGTGTCGAAGTCTGCCGCTAGACCAAAAGGAGTGAGCCCACACTAATGGTAGACAGAGCCGAAGTTTGACACACCCCAGCTATAACATAGTTTATAGCTGAGACAGACTAAATTCTCTCCGTTTAGTAGACTCCTCACAAGCTCGTTTTGCGTAGAGGACTCCTATTCTAGCTGAGCCCGAAATCTCTAAAGGCAGACTTGATAGCGCTGGGACTCGAACCAAGTGTCCTGGTGTGGGGGCTTGGCGCAGAGGACCAACGTCACCCGGGCTCATAACTGTCAAAACGGAAGCAGCAGAAGCAGATATGATTGGTTAAAACGTTGATATGAACGAATATACGTCGTTGAATTGAGCCTTAATAAGGTATAGCTACATGCAAAGAGTTCAGCGCCGTATATACGGATGCAAGCTGACTAAGCTACATCCTGACACTGTGCTAGGCCAAAATATGAGAAAGATATGCCTCTGCAAGAGCCATGTTTACCCCCACCATTAGAACCGGGCGAGGAATCATGGTACAATGGCGTAGGTTCGTCTAAATGCTTCGTCGATATTGACAAGATAATAAGTCCCGGAGGCAAAACTTTCAATGCAGCCTTGGGGTGTATAATTTCGTTGCTGATATGCCTTTTCGCGGAGCTGACACATCTAAAAATATCATTTAGCAAGGCTACACATTTGAAAAAGAGCGGTGAATGCTGACCTGGTCGTAGAATTCGGGTGACTCAGCCTTTCGAGTTTCAAGCCGCTGAACCAAGTTCAGTTTGCGTGCCATTTCATCAGTATTACCTTTGACACGGAGGGTATACATGCTGCTAGCCAAGCCACTCCCGTAGCTGAAGAATCCAACTCTCTTGCCTAGAAGCTCCTTACCCTGCACACTGCTTAGCAGACTGACCAGTCCAAAGTATACGGATGCTGTATACGAATTACCGCACACGGGTGCTGCCATAAGACTAGGCTGTACGCGATTCGAGAAGCGCTTTTGCGTTAGAGCCATGAAAATTTTTTCTACGCACTTGTCGCCAAGGGAGCTCTCATAGTCGATTTCTTTGACCTCGGTGGGGATACCCTTGAAAGTGGGATTTTGTGGGTCTGCTAAGTAGTCATAATATAGCAGCCGTGCATACGACTTAGCTACCAATTTGCAGTTAGGGGCATGAAAGACAAAGTAATCGAATGAATCAAGTGGAGTATTCCCCGTCGTGCCATTGACTAGTTGAGAAGACTTCTTCGCTTGATAACGCTTATAGCAGTTATCCAACGCCATCAGATAGCACTTGTTCGAGAATTGACCATCTACAATTGGGTATTCGGACTTTAAATCGCCCTTGTAAAAGTCATAGGTATGCTGCATGAAAGAACCACGAGTTGGTTCAAAGATCAGAGGGGCATTTGGTCCGATCAACATAGCAACGCAACCTGCTCCTCATGTGGGACGTGCAGCCGGCCTGTCGTATAATGCAATATCTTCTGCTACAACAATTGCATCTCGGCCATCCCATGCGGATGACTCCACCTAGTTGATGGCATTGAAGAGAGCATTTGTTCCACCTAGCAAGCGTTGTAGGTGTCCACTCTCTCAATATCGGAGTTTTCTCCGAAAAGCTGCATGAGGACAGACTTGCAAGACTTTGCTTTATCCAGAATAGATTCTGTCCCTACTTCAAGGCGCCCAATGGTATTGGGGTCAATCGAATACTTTCGTAGGAGGGAAGAAACAGTCGTCAATGCAAGAGAGTAGATGTCTGATAAAGTCATTAATAAAACCAACTCAGTTTGGTTCATGCAATCCATCCTTGATTATGCCTACCTTCGCGGTCATCGCAAAAGCCCATCTTTGTCTGGCCAAGTCCAATGGTATATTTTCCAGAACTAGCACCCAGGAAGGTCTCCAGCTCCGATTGTGCCACATACTTGGAAAAAAAAAAAAAAAAAACTTCTGGAGACTATAGCATAAGGCCAGATGATTCTCTACTTACGTGACTAGGAAAGTAGATCTCGATGGCTTTGATGCCGACGTCTTGAGCCATTGCAGTAAATAGAAGGGTATATGTTTCAAAAATTTGCAATACAGACAAGCTGGCAAGATAACTGGAGAGAAGGAAATAGACAGCAGCTTTTCTCGCCAAGGGGCAGGAGAACATACTGTGATAATTACATGACTAGATAGCTAATTGACAGGGGCTGGCGTTTGTGCACTGCCCCAAATCAGTCAAATTAGCTACTAACGTCCACCATACCGGGTGGTGGGTCAATTAACATCGCGAAGAAGCTGATGTAATGAATGGCAAGTCGACGTGGCTAAGGTTTCGGGTCGGCGCGTGGGCGGCTAGTAAGTTACGAGGCGCACTCGGGCTTGGCATAGAACCAATAAAATCACAACGATTTTACTAGCCTGGCTCTCCGTGTGAACAAATTAAATACACAAGTATTTTTTTTTAGAGACACGCTCTTATATATTAACCGCCAATTTGTCCGCATGTATCTTCCATGTTTAGCCGGGGCTCTTAATTCTTCCCGCGGAGTAAAACTTTATGTATGCGACAGGACTTCGATGCTGTTCAATTACAGGCTCCACCATAATTGCATTGAAGGCTTGTGGACCTAGATACCTTGTCGACACAGATCCGGGGAAGCAGGCCATGGACTGCCATAAAAAGTTGTGCATTTAGGGAAGGTTTGCTTAGGGCAATAAAGTACGCCCGAAAGTTAGTGGAAATATGTAAAACCCCACCAATAAAATTCCGGAAAATAGGTTTTGGTAAATTTATACCAACTTTCAAATTTATGATTGGTTGATACTCTGAGTAGAAGCCCCTTGTCGCATGCCCGGATGTTGTCACCGCAATCGAGTTCCTATAGACTACAATTTCTGTAGTTTGTGTAATTATTCTGTCATAGGTGGCGGTGCATGAATGACTATTTGCCTTTGCATTATCATGGTATTTCAAGAGAAGTAAGCCCGCGGAGTAAATCCCAGAACTCCTCGTTTGTTTATTTCTCAGCCCATTGATTTGACCTTTTCGAGAAAGTCGTGACAGAATATCTATGATATTTATATGATTGTGAAGGTTATGTAGTTCCTGAATATGTTTGGATAAATATATTTAATGAAGCAAAATATGTTCACTGCTTTATTTGCTTGGAGCAGACGACCTGAATGTGTAGGACCGGTAGGTAGTAGTTTACGCCAATCAGCAATATGACATTGGTATCCTAGGATCAGAGGGCTTAAGTCCATTTCTTGTTTATACATCAAGAGCTAAGCTCGGTTTCAACCGCGAGAGAACGTCTTCGAGGTTTATAAAAGCCTGAGGGATCATATCTTCAATCCCCTCTCTAGTCTCCCTACGGCCAGTAATGCGGCTAACGGAGATTTGGCACTTAGAACACCGCTAAATGGTCGGCTAGTGATATCATAACGACAAGGGGGAGGCAAGTATAAGCTAGCTTCAACATTCGCCATGGCAGGTGGCGAGGCCAGCTAATCCCAGAATGTGAATGGGCCACCTAACCTTGAGACTTGCACCAAGCTCGGGGAATTGGGTTTAAGAGATCCATGGTCTAGAATGGAGGTGGAGTTGGACGAACAACAGGATTCCGCATGATGGGCAGCAGCGTAAGTAACTAAGTATAGTATTCGGCTACTGGCCGGCTACTTGGCCTGCGGGCTGAGGCATGTAAGATTTCCCGGCAAGAGAAGAAGAGGTGTGGAGGGCAAATCTTCATGTGGTGAATACATAAAAGGTGCAGAGGGGTGCATGCAAGAACTCCTCTGGGCCGTCCTTGTACGAGAATTAAACATTTGGCGGGAGAGGGGGTATAGGTATGCATTGATGCGCTGTATGATATTTTAGGGTCTTATTACTAGTGGTCTCGTGCGCAAGCAGTGAAGGAAGCTGTCTGGGATAGATGAATGACTCTGGTCCGGGCCGATGGGAATGCGAGGAAGGAGCAGTGCCCACCTAGGTGTTGGCTGCTGCCTGTTGCTCCCATATTTCAGTACACCACAGCCTTTCTGCTTTGTTGCCGACGCAGGGAATGTGTGTTTGAGACCGAGAGTGTGTGGCTTGCGGTATGAAGTGAACTCAGCTCCTTGCTATCTTGCTATCGAAGTACACCGCACACCAAGACAGAGTTTTACTAGTTCTAGATTCGCTTCTGTGGTCAGCGGCGGATATCGATGACCTCCTGCATGGAAAATATGAACCGCCTCCCGTTCGCGTGCACACCCTGTCGTGGCATCCGCTCATGACATCAAAGCCAGGGGTGAGAAGACAGCAACCAGCCGTTCACACCGCAGCTAGCTAACTGAGTTAACGCAGCGTGAGTGAGGTGAGCCAGCTATACGATGCCATGAAAGACACAGAATCGACGCAGGCGGGAGAAAGGGTTGGACTTGGATCACGCGTCGCCCGTTGGTGGTGCCGACATAGCACTAGCGCCTTCTCAGATCTTTATCCTGTGGCCCCATGCATGCACGTATTCAATCAAAAGAGTCGGGCTGACAGGCCTATCAGATGCGTCTGCATTTCCCGCTGGCTGAAGGCTCGATTTTCTCAGGGCGTTTCATCAGAGATATCAGCCCATGTGCTCTCTGCCAGCCGCAAGGGACGGACATATTAAAAAGACAGAAACAGATTTAGGGGGGGAAACTCAGCTCTTCTCATGATCGAATGGGAATTTGACGTGGTCAACGCAACAGCCACAGGAATCGACAGGGCTACATCAACATGTTCGAACCTGACCGCAGGGCAGGCTTCACGAAGGCCGTAGAAGAGCACAAAGATAGCCCTGGAGAAGGGCCAAACTAGCCCTTGTGATGTCGTATATATAATCTGCGCAGCTATCTGCAGGGTAGTGGCGTCGGTCTTGGTGGCCTGACTCTTCTCCCTCTGTCTTGAAGATGCTCGTGTTTCATGGCACCGGCTCGTACACAGATGCAGGCTGGAGATGAAATGTCCGACATAGTTGGCGTAGACTTTCTCTCTTTACTTCAGTTCCTTCTCTCTCCCTCTCTCTCTGTCCGCCTTTCTCTCGCTTCTTCTTCTTTTTTTTTTTCTTTTCCGACTTTTCTTTTTTTATATCAAAATCACAAAAAGTGCTTAAAAGCGAAGATCATTTACCGTACGTGACAATACAGCGACCCCCCTCTTTGCATGTTTTTTGGGCTGCAGACGTCATCCTAGCCAATAGTCAGCGTTCTTCTGCTGAGTCATCCGTCACAAATACCTGTATTCTATACCAAATCAAACTCGCCGCTCGTCGACTTCAACCTCAACTTCGTCTTTTTTGCTTCTTTGCGAGCTCGATCGACTTTCTCTTCGCTTCTGCCTCGATCCCATCCTCCCGCAAGACTCGAACGGCGTGACGGTGTTTGGTTCTGGTCTCTGCGATGCTGTTCCTACGCTCGTAGCATGTCCGGACTCTCTGGCTAGGCCCTGACCACCTGCTCTCCCAATCGAATCGTCGAGATCTGATCACCACCCAAGCCCGGCCAAAGCGGACACGACAGCCAGCATCGGTGTTTCAACGGCAATTTCAGTGCATCCCACGCAGGACAGTTTGCCTGTGCGGCCTAGAGGGACAGTCCAAGGCCTCTGTCGCTGCTGGCTGTGAATTATGAAGTGCTGAAGTGGTTCAATTAGCAGGGCTGGCGTACCTAGCATACAAATACCTCACCGACGGAGAACTCTCACGAACGAACGAACGCACACAGACACCCAGAGACAGGGAGACAAGAGACACATACCCACCTGGTACCTCGAAAGTTGAACCTCGAAATCGTCTGCTTCCCTAGATCCACAACGTACTCTTTTTGGGAACAATGTGCTGTTCATGGTGACTGGTCAAGCTATTAGCTGGTCCGGGCACCGTTCTGCCCGGCAGACGGACCCATTCATTTCTCGATCTTGATATACCTCTTTCTCGCTGCCGGCCCGCTTGATACCGGCGTTTGTTTGTCTCTCTGCCTCTCTACGAACCAGCTCTCTGACTTGACACACACTCTATTTACGCTCTCGTCATGTCGTCATTCGACGGACGGGAGCGCTCAGATGCGCCACGATACCTCGAGCCTCCTGCCGTAACCGCCCTCCGGGAGGAGGCTCGGAATGTTGCTGCTCCCGCCCCAATGGAACGATCTCTCAGCCAGGACATCAGGGAGGAACGCGAGGATTTGAAAGAAGCTGCTGAACACACGCTCAACGTGATTGTGGATTTGGACTTGGATGGCCGCATAAAATGGGTCAGCCCCTCATGGACTGAGGTTATCGGGACTGATGCCCAGGAGGTTGAGGGGCAGCTAATTCACGACATTGCTTTGGACAACAAAGACGTTTTTAAAGAAGCTGTGCAGTCTATGAAGGAAGATGACTCCAAAAGTAAAATTGTGCGATTTGATGTTCGCCTGGGCCCTTTGTCGGTATTCTGGCAGGAAAGTAAGTTGCCAGATGAAGAGGAGGAAACCTCCGCCTCAGATGCGGAAAAGACGCTACATGCACAGGAGTCTGCCGAGCAGGAAGATGGCAACATACTAAGCCTAGAAGGCCAGGGAATCATGGTCTATGATAGAACATCTGGCGGCGGTAGCCATGTAGGTGATCTCCGAAGCCCCTGATATATTAATATATTTTGAATACAATTACTGACACCTCTTCTCCCTAGACTATGTGGATGCTTCGGCCATCTACTGAGCCTCGAGAAGTGACGATAGGTCTTCCTCCACTGCTCGTTGAATCCCTAGGTGTCGGAGCTGAAGTTCTGGCCAACTATCTCAACGTTCTGGCTGAAGTAGGGATCAGTGATCCTGCTCACCACCCGCCCCCTATGCCCGTACTCTGTCGGATATGTGAGAGGCAAATCACGCCCTGGTGGTTTGAAAAACACTCAGAACTCTGTCTGCAGGAACATAGAGCCGAGATGGATGTTCAAATGGCACAGGAAAATCTGAATGAACACCGTCATAGGATTGTCAAGGTCCTCGATGCCCTCGAAGCTCGCAAGAGCAGAGACAGTAGTCCGTTCGTTG